AGGGCTTGGGGAGGGCAGTGGCTGAGGGGAGCAGGGCATGGGGAAGGGCCATGGCTGAGGGGAGCAGGGCCTGGGGAAGGGCCATGGCTGAGGGGAGCAGGGCCTGGGGAAGGACCATGGCTGAGGGGAGCAGGGCCTGGGGAGGGCCTGGGGAGCCACAGTGGGATACAGAGCGAAGGAAAGGATGGAAAGAGCTGCCCTGGCAGTGCTGGCAGAGGGATTTGGACCCCCAGGGATAAGGGTTTGTGCACAATCCCTGTGCTGCTCAGAGTCAAAGCTCTGTCTGGAGGGGGAGGCAGAGAGAAACTCTGCCAGGGGTACCCTCAGTAATGCCAGGCTCTGGGCTCAAATCCCCTCTGCAGGTGAGGTTCTGTGCAGGGGCCAGCCCTGAGGAACCAGCCAGTCTGAGCCAATCCAAAATGCCAGTCCCACCCCAGAAACCAGCTTTCTTCACAGCTGTTACCACAGATAAGATCCTGACTGTAGAACTCTGAAAATACTGTGTGAGATTGGCAGGAATGCAGGTGCACCACAACAGGCAGACTAACATTCCTTTTATACTACCTACATTACTACAAACCACCAGAGACAGAATGAAAATTGCCATTAAAGAGCTTTTAACCTGTTAAAATCAGGTTTCCATCACCCATGGAGGCAACTGCTGCAGACAGGATTTGGCCCAGCAAGGGGAAGGGCAAAGCTTCATCTGCCTGCAGGGGCACACTCAGAAGTGGAATGGCCATGGCAGAGAGTTGGAAAGGTTTCATCCCAGGAAATATCTCCCATAGGAGATATTTTGCCCCCTAAACCCTCAGTGCTCCAGAGCCAGCAGCCTGCAGGGAGCACTGCGGGGTGTGGAAGGGCCCTGTCCCCATCCTGGACACCTGAGCAGGGTCACCTGCAGGGTGACACCACCTCTGCAGGAGAAGGGCACAGACAATAGGAAAAATTCTTCAATCTCTGAATTTGTGCCCACAATCAGCCAGCACCCCACCCTGTGAAAGAACAGATGGGGAGGCGTTTCCCTTCACACTTAAAATAATTGCTTGATCATAAATAACGATTATTTCAATTGATGAATCATTTGGACTCGTTTTAGGTCTCAAGTCATACTGAACAGTGCCATAATTGTGGCATGAAGAATTCACTTCTCACTCCTGTTCTTGTTAGAGTTGGAGCAAGTTAAATTATTATTTCTTTTTCAGAAGGACAATTTAAATGCCAGTCAACCAAGAATATAGAAAAACGTCCTGATATTAAATGTTTGTGATCAGTCCTTGTCTCCCCGTGCTCTTTCACACACACAAACACCAGTTCCCATGCCCAAGTGTGTAAAGCTTTATTGTTACAGCCCAAAAATCAACACTTGAGTCACCTTTCACACTGAACTTCGAATCTTTCTTCAAGTGAAATCACACTTGTGAGGTTAGCCCAGACATGTCAAAGCCAGGATTTGAGGCTGAAAAGAGAAATGCCCAAGATAATAAAAAATGTGCTTCTCCCTCTGGGGAGAATTTACAGAATTCTTTTTATGATCAGAAATAATTTACTGATGGGAAATGAGATGCAAGCTAAAGAAATTCACTGTTAGTTCCAATAGTTTGTCCTGTGAGTTCCTCAGGAATCTCCAAGCACGTGGAATCCTTCAGCTCAGCTCAACGGGAGCCACACCAAACAGGGGCCAGCATTTGGGTTTCTCAGGGGAAATGTAAACCAGGACCTCCTGAAGGTCCTTTGAACAGCCAGTGTTTTATGACAGGATGGGATACGGCTGAACCTACTCCAGTCAATGCTTCCATGGGGTGGAGAAGGAAATACTGATGTGTTTTCAGGCACTGGTGAGGTCAGAAGATCTTTCAGAGCCTGACCATGAGAAATGCCAAGTGAGAGTCCCAACAAGGCACGGGATCAGCCTGGTCAGTGCTCTCCTAAGAGGGCTGGAAGGCAAAGAAAGACTATTTTATAAAAAGAGGGAAAGGGCTCAAGATTGATGAGGTGGGCAATAGCTCATATTTACATATCTGGGGCCCTCCCTGACAGCAGAAAAAAATAAGTTAGCCCAAAAAATAGAAATCTAATCTCCATTCACTTCCCAGCTTGTCAGAAGGGCTCGGTGCAGAGCAGCCTCCCTTGGCTGCACAGGGGTGTCCCACACTGGGACCCCACCAATAAATCTGTTCGATTTCCTGTTATGAGAAGAAGACAAAGAGATCCAGCCAGGGATGGGCAGAGCTGTCTGCACAAGGGAAGAGCCTGTGCTTTCACCCCAATCTCAAAGCCACCCTGTCCGAGGTTAGCAAAAGTTCAGTTCACTTTGGGGCTTTTTTCCCGTTATTCCTCCTTTCCGTGCCTTCCCGTGGGAGCTGGAAGGAGACAGGACAAAGCGTTTCTTTCCTGCTGGCAACGAGCAGCCCTGAAAGTGTCACAAAAAGAGAGATTTCCAGTCTGAGGGTGTGATCTTGCAGCTCCTCCAGATGTGAGTAATGCCGTGACATTTCTCATGGCATTCGTTGTGGTTGGTGAGAATTTCTTGGCATTTCTCTCCAAGTGTTTTCCCCACACCTCTCCTTCCTCGCTTTCTTCTCCCCTCCATCCAGTGCATGGATTTTACACACACAGAAAAGGAAAGACTTCAGGTGAAAAAGATGCTTTTTCCCAAAGCCCTGAGGAGCTGGTGCCTGTAGCTGATGAGGTTCCTCTCAGGAGGGGACATCAGCCCTCCAATCCCATTTTGCCCACAGCCCTTGGGCTGATCCTGATCCTGCAGCCCTGACCAAGAGATGTTCCATGGCATGAATTTTCCAGAAGTCCAGCAGGTCCCCAGCAGCCCTTGAAAGGGATTGGGATGAATGTGGTAGCATTGCAATGTGCTTTGTGAAATACCGCAACCAACACCCTTGTATCTGTGAAGGAATATTTGCAGAACTGCTGGAATTCCCCACAACATCAGGAGCCTCACTGGATCATCACTTCTCCCAGCAAAATGTTGCAAAACCTTTTATGGATGTAAATTTGCTCATTTGCATTTTTGTGGGGTTTTTTTTCTTTAGAGAGACCCAAGATCTATGAAAAGGAGACTGATTTTGATAAGGTTGTGAAGGTGGAATTGAGAAGCAAACACAAAATCTCGTGCACGGCAAGCGGGAACCCCGAGCCAAGCATCCAGTGGAAGTGGCAGCCCTGCAACATCACAGACACCCTGTAAGTGATGTCCCCATGGATGAACATGTTCCAGTCAGGTTTGCTTTCTACTCCATCCTATTTATCTGAGCTAAAATCACAATCAGAGTGAAGATTTCCAGGGTTCTGAGCTCAGCTGGTGTCTGGTTGTGTTTGTGCACCTTGTGCATTACCTGAATTGTGTTAAATGAGTTTAAAGTGACTAAAGATCATTGAATTCTCCTTTACCTTGACCAACAGTGCCCCTCTGACTTTCTTTGGCCCTGTTGAATGCTGTGAATACTTGACAAAGAAAAACCAGCAGGATTTGTGGGCTGAGCTAACACACCTTTTGCCCCTCAAGAGCTTTTTCCAGACAATTTCCAGACAGATTTTTGGCTTCCTTAAATCCATATGGGATTCATGGCAGTTCTCAGTCTCCTGGGGCAGCTTCGGTGTCCCTGAAGCTGGGAGAGGGAATTGTGTCGTACTGGGGACCCTTCTGTGCTGCAGGTTTTGCTGGCAAAGTCACTGGGTCAGAGCTGCCAGAGAAGAAGGAGGCCAGGGAAAAGCAGGATGCCTTTGGAGATTTGCCTAAGGAGACATTCCCCTTGCTCCTGCAGTTCCCTGAGCAGAGGGGTCTGCAGAGAGAGGCCTTGGCTGGTGCCCATCCTTCCCTGGTAGCCCCTGGGCACGTCCTGCACAGCCCTGACCACGTCAGCTCCTCCCTGCAGTGAGAGGGATGAAATCGGGTTTTCCACACATTTTAAAAGAAGGAAGACAGATCTAGAAAGTGAAGGAGAAAATTGCTGGATAGTGCCTTATTTTCTCATTCATTTATTGCTGTGAATGGCAAGCCATGAGAGAGGGGGAAATTGGGGAGAAATCCTTTCCCAGGTTTTCTGTACAGCACAGGGATGTTGGGTGATCCAGCCCCGGCTCGTGTGCCTGTCCCAGGGAGGAATCCCGCGGTTACCCACCTTTTTTGGGAATAAACTCAAGGATTTGATGGCTTTGTTGGCTCTGCAGGGCAGCAGGAGGCACAGGGCTCTGCTTGGGAGGGGTTCAACAAGAGCAGAGTGCGAACACCACATGGAAACAGATCCTGCATCCTTAGGAAAGCCACAGAGGTGACCCAAAATCTTTTCCAGACCTGTCTTGGGGAGAGAGAATTGGCCATGAGTGCCAAACTCAACCAGATCCAAACCGGTGACCTGGTGGCAAAGGACCTCACATAACCCTTGTTGCAGCTCTCTGATTTTATCTATTTAAATACAATTGCAGAGTGGCTCTACCTCTGCTGGCCCCAGGGGCAACCTTATCTCACTGCAGCAGAAGCTGGAGGAGGATTCCTGTGGGAAATGACACAGCCCCCATTTCCTTCTGTTGTCTGACTTCCTCTCTCTCTCTTTCTCTCCCCCCACTCTGCCTCAGCAGTGCCCTTTGAGTCCCTGAGCACCAGCATTGTTCCTTAGAGCTGGGATGTGATTTTTACTTCCTCTCAGCTTTTCCCCTTCATCCTCAGGACAGGATTGTGCCTTGCAGGAAGTCCCTCAAGATCTTCTAATGAGTCCCTTCTGAGAGCTGCAAAGCCTCCCCTGACCCAGGGAGTTGCCCCTGTGCTTTGTGTGGCTTTGGCAAAGGCAGGGCTGATTTATGGAGGAATTTTCTGCAGCATCAGTGCCTAGAAAAGTCAATTTTACCTCCTGAAACCCCGTGGTTTCTCAAAGCATTTCTAGGAGTGAGAAGAACTGTGTCTCTGCTTGGCTTTAGCAAGTTGAGGAAGACAGGAAAGTTTTTTTCCCTGGATGGTGCAATTGTTCAATAAAGAACAAAAGCTGTTTACCATTAAGGTATCTCTGTTGCAGCTTGCATACTTTGAAAAAAAAAATGGTAATAATAATGGAGGGAAGATTTCAAAGGTTTAACTAAACCTTTAAACATGCTTAAAACTATGCTTTAAACATTGCTTAAAACAATGTTTTACCAAAACAAAGAGATTAAATAAAATAGGGAGTAAACTGATCTGAAGGGAAATCTTTTGCTAGAGGTAAATGCTACAGGATAGCAACTAAGGCATAAAGAGTTATTAGTTATTAGTCTGAAGTTATTTAATAAATGGACAGAATGTCTGAGAGACTAAGGGACCTGCAGAAAATTTTGGAAGACCTCATTTCACCTTGAGGAAAGGACACAAATATCTCAATTTGCATGAAGCAGCAACACCTGGACCTTCCCACACGACATGTTACACACTCTGCTCCTTGCCCATATTCCAAAATGAAGATTTAGAAATGTTTTCTGTGGAATGTGCAGCATTAAAGGGACCTCCTGCTGTTCTCTCCCAGTATTTACCTGTTCTACACCCTCAGCCCACACTTTTTGTTGGAAGCTGGGCACAGACAAACACTCAGCAACATCCTCGCAGTTTGGAAGGACTGGCATTTTGAATTTGGAAATGTAACTTACATTAGCCAGATAAAACTCCCATTATTCAATTAACTGTCAGGTATTTTCGATTTCTAATCTTTGCAAAGATTGGGGGGTTCACTGTTGGTCAAGCACTGGTTTTGTTTGCCTCTGTCAAGGTGCTTTGTAAATAATTTTGAAATGTTGCAAAGAAGGAATGGAGGAATTTCACAAAAATTTCACAAAAACAGGCTCCAGCAGCAGCACTTCTTTAAGAGGACTTAAGACCCAAGATTATTCTTTAAGATTGACATTTTCTCTCTCCAATACACCCCCCTGCTTGCCTTGAACATCATCTCTGCTTTTCTACCTCCAGGTGCAATCCTGAGGGGCCAAAAGTTGAGGTTTGGGAGAACACAGTCATAGGAAACAAGATCAGGAGCATCGAGAACACCCCCAAGAGGCTGGGGGATAAACTAAAGGTATGTGTGGGATGGCCTGGGGATGATGTCAGGGGATGCTCACCCCCAGCTCGTGGTTCCCAAGCTGCTGAGGGTTCTTAGCATGCTTGGAATTCCCCAGTGCTGGGATCATCCCAGATCTCTGCTGTTTATGAGTGCTGGGATTTGGGAATGATGTCACACACTCTGTTTAAACTCTCCCAAGACTTCTGGGTCAAAATCTTCTGTTTCCCTCACTCTTGAGAAAGTGTGAGAGTAGTTCAGTTCGAGGGGTGCTATGATATGAACGCTGATAAAGACTCTGAGTTCATGAAACCTGGAGGGCTCCTGATCCTGTCCCCCTTTATCCTTCCCTCTTTATCCTGCCCCTTTATCCTTCCCCCTTTTTCCTGCCCCTTTATCCTGCCCCTTTATCCTTCCCCCTTTTTCCTGCCCCCTTTTTCCTGCCCTGTTTTCTCTACTCCCAGCAGCAGGAGCTGCCCAGGAATTTGGCTCCAGTGCCTCAGGTACCTGCTCTGATTTCCAGAGATGCAGCTCTCAGGTTGAAACACTTCCCTGGCACAATGAAAACCTTCCTCAGACACTTCCCTGCCTGCTCCCCTTTCCAACAGCACTGGGATCACCCTTCCAGTGTGATCCCACCAGGAATTAATTGCCTGTGCAGTGTCCCTCACTGTGGTGATCCTGGCTGATGTTCCACACATCCAGGCTGGGAATCTGCTGTGGATTCAGGATCTCCTGGCTCTGCTGGGCTCTGGCTGGGATCACCTGCTGGACTTGCAGGGGTTGCTGGCTTCAGGAGTGGGTTTGGAGCTCCAGCTTCCCAGGTGGAAGTTCTGGATGGTTCCGTGTCTGTTCCTGCAGGGTGCTGGGCGCTGCTCTTCAAATCCTGCTTCACCTCTGAGCATGGGAGAATTCTTGAGTTACTCCCGTGCTTAAAGTTAAGCACAAAACTAAAGTGCTCGTCTGGACTGGGTCCAGACTAAATCAGCATCTGGCAGGATCAGTGCCTCAGCCATCTGCTCTTTCTCAGGGAGACTTCCCAGTTCTAAACATAATCCAAACCAGAGCTCTGAAAACAGGGAGCTTGGGCTGGGAAGGAGAAAATCAGCGTTCACCCTCATTCCCGACTTTTTCCATTGCTGGAAGATATTTATAAATTGGATTTATTTAGATGGCACAATGCCCCTTAAGCTCTGGCTTTAATGATTTTTCAGGAATTCTACATCTTAGGTAAAAGCAACCCCCTAAAAGATAGATAGATAGATAGATAGATAGATAGATAGATAGATAGATAGATAGATAGATAATCAGCTTTTACATATTTCATTATTAAAGTTACAAGCTACACAATTTCACAATTTATATTATATTCATTCTTTTTCTCCCGGGCTGACAACACAGTCTGAGGTGTTTCCTATTAATTCTTGTGTCCTGATTAAGATTTATTGAAATGAATATAACTCAATTACAGCAATCTCAGGTTTCACTCCCTGCTTTTATTGCAGCCAGTTCCTCTCCTTCCCTCTTTCTGAAGTTCAAGGCTCTGTGTTAATTGCAGACTTTATATTATAGAATATCATTTTTTAAAAAGTCACTGAGGAACAAGTCTTCAGACTTTTCCATGAGTTTTATCAGTTGTTATTCCCACCAGGAATGGAACAGACAGGAAAGAGCCAAATCCATTCCCAGCATGTCCCAGCAATTAATTCACCTGCATTGACCAAGGAGGTGAAGAAATAAAGGTGCTGGAGTCTGAACTTTGAGGAACTGTGTTAGGAACATGGGATTAGCTGAGCTCAGGGATTTTCCTGTGGGATCTGAGCCTGTCCCATGAGCATTGGAGTCTTGGGCAGAAGGTGGAATTCATCTGGGCTCTAGGATTTGTCAGCACCCAAGAGTTCACCCTTGTGAGCTGCAGCAATAAAAGCTGGTCCAGCCACATGTGAAAACTTGCATTAACTGTTTAGAGCTGCTAAAAACATGGGAATAACTCCCCTGGAATCACCAGATCCCAAAATTTGCCCAAAGCAAGCTGGCAGGGCAGCAAGAATGGTTTTTCTCAGCAAACTCCCGGTGCTCTTTGATCACATGAAGCTCTTCAGACATCTCCTGACAGAAGTGCCATGTAAAATCGAGCTCTCTTGTCATCATCCTCATCATGATTATTCCATGAGTATTCCACAGACAGAAAAGTGAATTTCACCTCCTCCCACCTTCCTAAGAGCCTCAATCCTGAGGAAAAGCACGAGGTTGTGGTTCAGGTTCTGATGCACTTCAGTGAAGTTTTGGTCAAACAGTGGTGGAGGCAGTTGTACTGTGATAATTTCATTTTTCCTGGGGTTTTGACTCCATGTTGAACTTCTCACTTTGGGATTTAAGCACTGCATGGCTCCTCTGAATCTGCTTTTTCACACCAGGTGTAACACCCGTGACTGCAGGAACTGCCTGACTTTTCAAGTCACAAGGAGCTAGGTTGCTGTTTTATTTTCTTTCCTGTTAGCAAAATAACAAACTGGCCTGAGTTTGGGACCAGCAGAAGGGAATAGCAAGACTCATGCATAATTCAGTCCTCACTGGGGGGTTCTTTTCATCTCTTTTCTCCCTTTCATGTCTGTATGAGAGTGGCCAGGCCACGTGGGTGTTTCTGCTGGTGAAATTCACAACCACTCAAGAAAACTGACCCAAAAATGCCAAGTTTAGACCTCCTGAAGGAGCAAAAAGATTACATTAGAGCAGTGGGATGTGTGTGGTGAGATGTGTGTGAGCAGCTCAGCCAGGCTGTTCAAACCTGTCACTTCAAGGAGCTTCTCCAGCCCTGTCACACCAGGGAAAGGGACACAGGGAAGGGACACAGCAGCCACTGCCTGGGATCAGCCCAGGTGTGTCAGGCACTGCCCAGGAGCACCTGGATCTGCTCTTGCTGGCTCTGGTGAGAGCCTGGCCAGCAGCAGAGACAGTAGAACTGGCCCTTTGTCTTCCCTGACCTCCTAAATTTACAACCACTCAAGAAAATGAACCCTAAAATGCTAAGTTTAGACCTTCTGAAGGAACAAAAAGAACAAAAAGCCTGCAGTCACTGGAGGAAGGAGCAGGGAGTGGTGATTGCTCAGGACCAGCCAGGATTCACCCACCTTCTCTAGGGGCTGGAGGGGGATTAGTCCAGGGACACCTCAAACCTTCAGTTAGCCCAGTTCCAGCCCAGTTAGCCCAGTTCCAGCCCAGTTAGCCCAGTTTCCTGACCACCCAGCTCTGCTCACACTGAGGAAGGCACCAGGGAGAGAACCCCCCCTGCCAGAGGTAGGAGCAAAGCTGGAAGGTCTCAGCCGGCTCCCAGACTTCTCACTCATCCTCAGCCCATCCTTTAGCATGTTTTGAGTGAATGAACTCCAATGCTGGATCAGGACTGTCAGTCTATGCAAACAAGTGTCCTCGTGTGCCACTCAAGTGGATGGATTAGGAGTGAGTTGAACGCTTTCTGTGCAGGGTCCCTGCTGAAGTTCCTATAATTCCACCTCCCTGCAGCCACCTCCAGCCCAGCTCTGCCAGACTCAGACAGCTGAGAAGTTTTCCACCCACGTTTTCCACTCCTCATCCTCGCCCACGGAGAGCTAACGAAGTGAAAGAGGAAAGATTGTTCACTAAAGTTCTCGGGGAGGGCAGGGATTAGACAAAGGAAAGAAAAAGCAAGGAATAACAAGAGATATTAATTCATGCTGGCTCCAGCTTAAAAAAGGTCTCATTGCTCTGTCCTTACTACAAGATGTCTCAAAACACTCACAGTGCATGGCTGGGGAATGTTATTTGGCTGCTTCTAAAATAACTTATTTTTATCAGTTTGGGAACATTACATATGGACTTTATTGAACTATTCCATCAGGAGTTGTCCCAGCAGCAAGCTCTATTTACTTGTCAGAACTGTTCTTCAGAAATCAGTCATTTTATTCCTTTGCTTATTGAGTTTTAAACTTAGTTTATTCTTCCTTAGTAATTATTTATTAGTTAATAATCCCTTCCTTGGGCTCACAGTATTGGGTGGCCTTTAGGTTAAGTAATAGGAAATGGAGTCCTTAATTCCAAATCCAAGCCTGGGATGTGTTTGGTATGCAGTGAACTCCCAGGATCCCATCCAGCTCCCACTAGGAAGATGTCTAGACACGACATGCCAATAATTTGTTATTAATTAGGCTCATGCCAGTGCTGCCTGCACAGGAGCTGAGGGTGGGACAGCCCTGTGGCAGCTGGGAACATATCCCTGATGCTCACAGGGACAGGGAAATTGGGAACTGCACATTTCCAGGCTCTGAGTGGTTCACTGATGGCATTTGCAGGGCAGACACACAAAGTTTGAAGGCAATTGCAGGTTTCACATCAATCATTGTTCAGCTCAGCAGAGAGTGCTGAGCTCTGGGTTTTCTGAGCAGCAGCTGTGGGGTGAGCCCTGCCTTGATCATGGAATCACAGAGGGGTTTGGGGTGTGAGGGACTGAGAGACCCTCCAGTGCCACTCCTGCCATGGCAGAGACACCTTCCACTGTTCCAGGCTGCTCCAAACCCATCCAGCCTGGCCTTGGACATTCCAGGGACCCAGGGGCAGCCCCAGCTGCTCTGGGTACCCTCCCCACTCTGCCAGGGATCAATTCCTGCCCCATATCCCATCCATCCCTGTCCTCTGGCACTGGGAGCCATTCCCTGTGTCCTGTCCCTTCATCCCTTGTCCCCACTCCCTCTCCAGGAGCCCCTTCAGGCCCTGGAGGGGTCTCTGAGCTCTCCCTGGAGCAGCTCCTTCCCCAGGTGAGCATCCCCAGCTCTTCCAGCCTGGCTCCAGAGGGGCTCCAGCCCTGGAGCAGCTCTGTGGCCTCCTCTGGACTCACTCCAGGCTTTTCTACCCTGGCTCTGATTCCAGGAGTGGAAAATACTTCTCCAGGTGCATGGACTAAGCACACACAGGGATTAACCCCTCTGAATTTTTCCACTGTCTACCAAAGGTCCCCAGATCCTGGGATTGTGCCCCTGCAGAGTTTGCACTGTTAATAATGGGAGAAGATCCCTGAGTTTGGGTGCTCAAGTTCAAACCATTTTTTCATTAGGGATGGCATTTAGAAGAACAGAATCCTTATCCTAACCTGCCACTGTGACCAAACACACACAGATTTAAATCTCAGCTACCAAACCAACCAGGATTAGGTTTGTTTGACCACTGAGAACTTTATTTCAGAAGTTGGAAAGATAACTGGGATTCACCCAGGAGCAACCAGCTGGAGTGAAAGGTTGATACAGAATGATTCCATGGGATTCATCCTACAAGAAAATCACACAAAATCCTGAATTGCCAGCTCTGGGATCCCATGTAGATCTCTGCTGGATGCTGCTGGTTTAAAAGTCACAGTTTGGAGGGCTCTGGGAGGTGCCAGCTGTGGGCCAAGTCAGGAAGGTGCCTGATCTCTGGTGCTCAAGTGTGTGACGAGCTGGGATCCAAGTGCACAGCCATGACTGGAGCATCCAAACAAGAAAATTACTTTCCCTCTGTTCCTCAGTAGTTTTTTTTCCCCAAGAATTTGTCCCCAGATTGTTTCCCACTGTCACTTACCATCTTTTTCACCTTCATATCTAGACACGACTGAGATTAGCTCCAATGAGGTCTCAGGATAGCTATTTGCTTTTTTTGTTGGTTTTGTTTTCCCACTGCCCTGCCAGACTTTTCCTGAGTTATGGGGATGGAGATGTCAGCATCTGTCTGTGTGTGTGTTCATGAGCATTTACCTCTGGGCCACCAAGCAGCTTGAGGCATTCCATCAGTGTTTAGAAGAGCCACAGTGTCACCCCTAACACTTTGGACATGTCCCAAAATGGATATTTTATGATTTTGCCTGGCTCTACAGCGTTATCCTCCACTTCCCAGCTAGAGCTGTCACTTAGAAAGACTAATTGCTGTTAAAAAGCTGTCCAAATGTATCCCCTTCTGTCCTCAGCACTTTCATTTATATTGGCTTTTGCTCTTTCCAAACATGAAATGCTCAGATCCAGCAGCCATGAGGAGAAAGCTGTTGGTCCTGATTCAGCAGGAATTCCAAAGTGCTGCTCAGGGCTCTAAGATGTGCTGGTTCCCAGCCTGTGGCACCGGGCCACTGCTCCAGGACCAGCACCAGGAGGAGGAGCAGGCTGCTTTCACAGGCAGGCTGATTTTATAGCCAAGCTATTTTCACATCATAAATCACTCAGGACTGCACAGCTCTTTCTGTGGTGGACACCAGAGGGAGCTGGGTTTGCTGCTCTCCTTTTTCACCCCTGAATTTGGGGGTTCCCCATTCTTGTGTTTGGTACCCACAAAAACTGAAGACTTTTCCACTCAGCCCTTATCCTGCTGCAAATGCTCACTGTTCAAATGTGAAATGCACATGGGATCAAAACCTTTGGAACTCATTTCCCTGTGGGATTTAAAGTGCCAGATCTCAGCAAATCTTAAATAACTCGAAAAGTACATCCCACACAGCTCTAGACACAGTCATGGGGCAGCTTTAGGAGGGGTAAAGGAATGTCTTGTGCGAGTTTAGTTTAGGATATTAAAAAGAAAGTCCAGAGATGCTTCTGTGCACTTCAAAGAGCTCTCTGGAGATAAGGACAAAGGGCCAGAGGGTGTTATGAGTTTTGATTCTCAAAAGCCTTAGAGAGGATGACAAAGAAAGTGATATTTGTTCCAAATGTGAGGGCTCAGAGCTCCTCAGGTGAATGGCTGCAGGGTAAGCAGAGGAATCTGCCAGAACATCTCTGCCTTGGTGGCTCAGGCCCTGTTTTCCTGCTCACACTCCAAAGGAATATGCGGAATAATTAAAGGCACGGTCTGTGGATATTCCTGTGTGAGCCTGAGAGGCTGCACCCTGACAGGGACAGGGCAGTGCCTCACCAGCAGGAGCCTTGGGAGGTTTAAGGAGCACAAGTTCTTAAGGAAGTATTTGAGTTCAGACCCAGGAGTAACAGAACCACCTCCTCCTCCAATGTGGTGAAGCTCAGGACAAGGGCTCCTTCCCTCTCCACCATCCTCCCTTCCTGCATTTGCCAAGTGTTGCAGCCCTGGCAGCTTCTCCAGAGCTTCTTTCCTCACTGAATGAGTCCTGTACAGCTCCAAGGAAGGGTTTTGGAATCAAGGGGCTCCCAGCACATCATTCCCTCCCTTCTCTGTGGGGAAAAGCAAAATCCTGCAATTCCTCTTGTACCACATCCATGGAAATCACTTGTTTCCCGTGCAAATGTGGATATTCCCCACATAACCCACAGGGTGTGGGACTGTGTCTGGATGGATCCTCCAGGCCCTACACTTCAGCTTTTTGCTTGATGTTGTCACACAAAGACCTTGGCAGTTTCTCAAAAGAGGATCCTGTTTTTCATGGGTAAGTCAGGGAAAAAAGGAAGGTTTAGGAACGAGGAGGGAAGAGAATTAACTGGGCTGAGACGACGAGAGAAAAACACAAGTAGCAGCACTTGGCTGGGACTTTCACCCATTCTTAACTAGAAACAACTTTCTTAACAGCTTTTCTACCCTAGCACACCCCCAGAGCCATTCCTTGTTCTCTCTTTGTGGGCAGATCGTGAGCACCCTCACCATGGAGAACAGCAGTGCCTCAGGAATCTATTACTGCGTGGCTTCCAACAAGGTGGGCCAGGAGGAGCGCAGCATCCAGTTCTACGTGTCAGGTAAATGCACAAACCCCTCACCAAAGGCAGCTGCTGCTGCTCTGATTTCCCTGGGAGTTTCAGACCCCAGGCCATCCCTGTGTGTTGTGTTTTGGAGGCTGCTCACCCCACACGAGGCAGGCTCCAGCTCGGTGGGACATGTCCAGCCTCGGCCCTGAGTCCCTCTCTCTGTGCCTTAGGGCAGCACTGGTGACATTCCAGCACTGTCCTCGGGAAACCTCTGGCAAAGCCGAGGCCTTTGTGGTGTTCCAGAGGCCTGGAGCCTCTCCCTGAGCCAGGAGAAAGGTTGGACTCGGGAAATGAGCAGCAAGGTGAGCAAGGCCAGGCTCCAGCCCAGCCCAGGGCTGATGGCACCGTGGCACTGGAGCCCTTTGCAGAGCCCTTTGTGCAGGGAGGAGGCTCTCCAGAGAACACAAATCCAAACAAATATCTGCTTAACCTTTCAGCACAGGAATTCTTTAGGAGTGAGATCAACACCTACATCGAGATGGCAGGTTTTTAAAAAGAGAGGAGAGTCCAGGGACAGCCTTGTTCAAGTGCTCACCCAGAACAAACTGAAACGTTTCTGTGCTCAGAACATTTCTGGATGAGTGGATGTTGGCTGGCAGGATTTGCATCAAAATATCGATTTTTAGAACAAAGAGTGCAGAAGTGTCCTGGCAAGTAAATGTCTGATTCTCACTGCTTGGTTCCTTGCCCATGAGCAAGCTGGGAGGGCAGAGCTCGCTCGTGGCAGGGATCTGCCCTCCTGTGCCTCCCTTCCCTCCTGGGTGGATTGACTCCATTGCTCCAAAGGAATCCAGCACCTTTCAAATCCTCCTAACCAAAAAAAGGGCTCACCAAACACTGTTCCCATTGGGGCCAACAGAAAAATGCCACCCAAAAATAATGAGGCAGGAGCCATGGAAGGGGAAGATTTCACTTCCATTAGAGGTGACAAGAGACAGGAGAGGCTTTCAGCCTCCAAAAAGACATTTCCCAAAGCTCTACCTCTTATTTACTCAGGGAAATGCCCTTCAAGGTGCATTTTTAGGAGATACAGCTCAGATATCAGAGGTTCCCAAGATGTCCAAGGCAGGCTGAAGACCAGTTATTAATTTTACTCCTCACCCCTTCCAAGTGTTGAGTGTCCTGGGAATTCAGCCAGCTGTTAGGTCTGGGTGGGTTATCCAAGCTCTTCACAGAACTGCCACACTTGGTGACTAAACCCAGAGAAATAAGCCATGAGCATAAGGTCAGATCCAAAGGGTTAGATCATCCCATGCACCTTGCACAACTCTGGTTTATTTTAATAATAAAGTTATGTAGGGGAGTTTTTTTTCCACCCACGGTGAGCTAATATTTCAAATTTTTTATTTTAAGATTCATCCAGCGATGTTTTGAGACTCAAGTGTTTTAATCATGCACTTCAAATTAAGAAGGAAATGAATCACTGGGGGAAATTACTGACAGTGGTTATGGTGGGAATGTTTCCACCCAAGCAGACCAGGAGGTGACCAGGGCTTGGCAAGACAGATTCGTTCCAGCCTGTGAAGGGAAAATTGGGAGTCTGTGCTGTTCTGGGGAAGAGGCAAATGCTGACTGAGCATGACTGGCTTTTGGAAGTGCTATATTTAAAAATAGTGATGTTTATGGATTAGAAAGAAATGAAAACTTTCTAAATGTGACCATCCTGGTGCTAAACTAGGTCATGCTGCAGCAGTGACCTGCTGTGGGCTTCCTCCACGGGAGGATCTGCTCTGAGTGCTGCTCTAGCAGGGCCAGGCTGTGGGGAGAGTCCTGCAGGTCATCCTCACACCTGGAACAGCTGGAGCAGGCTCCAGGTGAATCTCCCCAAGAGTTTTCTCCTGTCTCAGTGTTGAGGGATGTCCAGGGACAGCCTGTGAGGTTCCAGGCAGAGGAAGGCCAGCAGCACAAGGCTCTAAGCTGGTCACTTCATGATTCTGGCAGGTTGAACCTAAGGGCTGAACTGAAGGCTGGGGCAGAGCTTGGGAGCAACACGTGGGACTTTGGGACACCTAGGAAATGTTTGTAGCATTTCACAGGTCACTGCAGAGCAGCTGCAAGTGTGGCACACAATTAATTCAGCAATTTACTGGTTTTAAAGACCTGCTCTCCCATGATCTCCTACCAAGAAACAAGCTGCTGCTCCCTGAGCTGCTTTCAGACCTTCTGGCTGAATTGGGTTAACTCGTTTCTCCCTGGTAAGAAATCTGAAGATGACACAGAGGCTGAACTCCCTCAAATCCCTGTTCCACTGGGGCAGGGATGAGATGTTTTCCTAGGATATGGCAGAACATTCCAGGGGCACTTCCTCAGGTGTTGTCCAGGCTGCTCTCCGGGGATGTGCTCACTTCAGTCTGATGTTTTCACCACCACCACCTTCATTTCAGAAAAATTAATTTATCCCTGTGGAATAATTGTCAGCAACCATTTTGTTCTTCCACTGCAGAACCCCCACAAAAACTCCCACGGACACCAGAAATAGCACTGGGCTCTATTTTTAAATCATTTCTCTGCCAGCAGAGTTCATTTCATGAAGGGTCAGCAGGGTTTGGAGATCACTCAGAATCCAAACCTTATAAGGGGTCCAGAGTGATGAGAAATCTCCTCATGCAGTGACAGCCCCTCCTGCAGATGTCCTGACTGTCACTGTCCCTCTGCAGCCCTCTGGAGTCTCCCCTAAAGGGATTCATCCATCGTGTCCTGGCCTAACTCTTACTCTGGGATTTTTGTTTTGTGTCAATCCAATCAAGATCTGACCCTGCCTGCCTTTCCCACCACTGCTCTGACTGCAGGGTTCCCACTGGAGCCTTGGGTGAGCCATCAGATGCTCAGAAATGTCATTGTCCAGCTCCAAAGGACATTCCAAGCAGGCTGCAAAGTCCCTAGTGCAGTGAAAAGCTGCCCTGGTGTCCCCTGCAGGGATTCTCTGCCATGGACAAGTGTCATTTACCTTCTAATCTCTGCTCTGCACCTTGGAAAGGGCAGCTCCACAGAGCTGCAGGTCCAGAGTAAATAAAATTCCAGCCTTTGTCTGACTGCACTACATTCAGCAAGGCGGGATCCCACCCATCTGAAAACTCCAAATGTTCTGGGAATATAAATGAATTATGATAAGAATAACAAATAATAACCAAAGCCCTTTTTCCAAGGGTTTATCTGATTGCCAAAACAACTGAGAAAAATGGAGTTAAAGATTTCTACGCGAGAGAAAATACTGCATTTCCAGCAGGAGATAAAAATCAGCTCTCAGATAGCAGAACAATGGATGAGCTGGGCTGTTCTAGGATTTTGTGCCACTCCAAACTGCTCATTGCCAAGGTGTTGACAGGATTCCTGACAAGCACCACTGCTCCACATAGAGGGGCTCCCTCTTCTCTCCATCCCTACCCCTGACAACCCCCCCTGCCAGGCCCAGGGCTGGAATTTGGGTAAGAGCAGAAGTTTTGAATTACAAAGATTATTGTGCAAAGCACAGGAAATTAAAAACAATTAATTCCTTGTAAATACAAATGGAGCCAGCCTTGCCTTTGATTTATGCTGCCTTTTTACCTCCCCCCAATGGCTCCTTTCCCTCTTTTGCCACAGAATCCCACACGGTGGAGAGGGGAATTCGCAGCTACTACTCTGTAACACAACACCAAAGACAAATGTTTGGTGACTGCTGATAAAAGGGAAAAGGCCCCGTGGTGCTTTCTTTTAGCCAACTTATTAGGAGCCTTCTGAAACACAGTATCTGTTCAGAGGGAGGAAGTTAATCACTGCTCAGGTTCAGGATTATGTAAGCAAAGCTGTCTGAGAGATGAACTGACTTGAAATGTGCTCTGCAAGCTGCACTCGCTCCCCTGATAATCCAGGTAGGAGGAGAAAAGAGAGAGGAGAGCATGAAAAGATAGAGCAGAGCAACTTCTTTTTTCCTCTCTTTTTCCTTCCACTGCAATGAAAATCGATGAATATTCTATTGGAGCCGAAAGAGCTGCTTGAAAGGCAAACAAGATGGGAGAGAATAGCACAGGTTCCAGCTAAAAATATTCAAAATGCTAAATAAAAAATGTCAGGAGAAGGAATGATAAGAAAAACAAGCCAGGCCTCTGCTCCCAGAATGTTAAGTTGGTAGAAAAAAAAAAAACCCTGGCGGATTTCAAGTCCAGCAACAAAGCAAAACTCTGGAGCATCCTTCAAAACTCAGGGCTTGGGAATGGCCACATCCCATCCATTGGGAATTTGCACCAAATCCCCCATCCCAAGCTGTGCTGTGGCCAAGGCAGTTTTAACCCAAGGCAGTTTTATCCCAAGGCAGTTTTATCCCAAGGCAGTTTTATCCCAAGGGATGCAGCTCTTGTTCCGTGGTTTTGTCGGAGAAATTCAGGAGATGTGAAATGCTGCTCCTGCCACAGCCTGGTGTTTTCACTGGCTCTCAGTTTTCCCATTTAGAGAGGATTTGTTGGCCTCAGACATTCCCCCCCAGTGTTGATAAGCAGGATTTGGACATGCTGGGAGCACAGGACGTCAGGAGTGAGCAGTGGATGTGTCACACGAGGCAGCCTGAGCACGCAGCTGGCACCGGCGGAGAGCAACTGAGCCCAACAACAGCCTGCAGAGAGCAAACTGCAATCCCAGCACAAGGAAAGAAGAGAAAAAATAACAATTTCCACAGCTGTGGCCTGAGGGGGTCTCTTCTCTTTTTGGATCTTTTGTGAAGTATTTCTGGTGCCAGTCTTTAAAAACCGTGAAGCAAAAGCTCACGGGTTCTCCTCCAGATGACTCGAGAAGAAGAGAGACTTTTAATCATGTCTGAAGGCTCCTCCAGGGCTCTGTATTTTATAGAATATGTGGTTTATTATAAGGCAGATTGGTTATTTCAGCAGCCTCACTGTTTCTGCTCAGCTGTGCCTTCTGCAGAACTTTCTGCAGCAGGAGCCCCTGGCCAGATTCCAGGTGGGATTTGCAGGTGGCAAGTGCAGTGCACACTTGTTCTGCTTTAACTCCTGGACCTCTCAAAGTCCCACCCAGCTCATCCTGGTTGGAGGAAGCATCTCACCAACAGCTTGGCACTGAATCATCTCTCAGATGTAAAGCTGTACCTGCTCAGAAGGTGGCCCAGAGTGAGCCTGTCCCTGGTTACACACAGAAGAGGCTCCTCATAACTCTCAGCTGCTTAAAACTCCAAACAGACACAGCAGAATGATTCCAGATCACTGTGGTTGTCCATGAACTTTCATTCAGCTGGATAGGTCCCTAAAATTAACAAAATCCAAAGGCAATAAAGGATCTTCCAGCCCCAATTCACTTGCAGGTCTCTGGCAGTTATTGCAGGGCAGGCTCTGGCCTTCCATTCAGGTTTTTCTTGTTTTCAAATGGATTCACTTCACCACTTCAGGAAAATCGATTTTGTGGGGTTTTTTTTTCTGGGGTGAAAAGTTGCTAAAAATATAGCAAGAAACAGCTCACTCTTTCATGGCTAGGTTGGAGTCATGACTCAGAGTATTTCTCTGCTAAATATAAGGGCCTCAAGGACTTAGACATCATTAGATCAGTTAATCCATCAGTGATCAAGTAAATATGCAGCATTCACATGTGCTGAAAATAAATATTGGCACAGTTGGAATAGGAGAGAGTTGAGGAGACTGTTCAGTGACTAAGAAGGTGTTGCTCCTGAGGGGCTGGGAATGGGTTTCCTTATTCCTCTGCAATTAATACTTCCCAGCCCTGACTGTGGAGAGGGAAGAGCTCACAAACACATTTATCCACTTGGATGGAAACAGCTCCTGATTAAACTCTTTCAGTCCATTAACTCCTTCTATTTATAAGCTTTCAATTCATTACTTGGAGATGGGATGATTTAGAATGCTGAGGGCTGGACTAGCACAGATTAGCACTGGGGAGTGAGAGGAACTTTCACTTCCCTAATTCCCAGCTCCAGTTGCCACATTTCCATGTGCCTCATTAAACCTGGCTTGTTCCATTACTGCTGGAAATTTGACCCCCAAGTAGCAGCCAAGCAAAGATCTCAGCTGGAATTTAATTCCAAACACGTTTTCCCTTCCTCCTAGATGTGCCCTCTGGGTTGCAAACATCCTCCCAAGTCACAGCCATCGTGGGGAACGACATCCAGCTCACCTGCCGGGCCTCCAAGTACATCTACACCCACCTGGCCTGGTACTACCCCTCCTCAGAGCCAGCTCCCAGCCACGCTGTGCTCAGGAAAATGGACAAATATTCCATCTCTTTGACCCTGCTCATTCCCAACGTCACCAGGGAGCAGAGTGGACTCTACAAGTGCCGAGCCCAGAACCAGCACAACAGCACGGACACGCTGGAGCAGCACAGCCAGCTCCTGGTCAGAGGTACGTGCCAGGGGAGAGTGGCACGGGGACATGTCCTGATGTAAACCTTGTGTCCTGCTCTGCTTTGGTTTTGGTTTTTGTTTTTCCACACAGTTTGTGTGGATTGACAGCCTGACATGGAGAACACTCACCCAGCCACTCGCTTCCAGTATTCCAAATTATTGGAAATCACATGCAGGTGATTTCAGCAGCATTCTGCCTTCCCAGCTCCATGCTGGGTGCAGATTTAGAGTTGACTGAGGACAAAAAGTCACCCACCATTTACTGACAGCACAGCTGTAACTTGGGATGCTCACCCCAGATCTGTATGACTTTGGTAGCCACTCTCAGCCTCCAGGATGAGAAACCTGAATAGGCTTGGACCCAGCAGATCCCAAATATCCCTGGGCAAGTTTAAAATCAAGTGACTTGTGCCATTTATTCTGGGTAAGAGGGATGCACTTTGTTATAACAATTCTTACTTATACCCAAACCCCCGACTCTTTTATTTCACCAAGATCCTCCAGCCTGGTCCTGTTGGCTGTGAGAACACAAAGGGCAGGACACTTCTGCCAGTAGGAAGTCACTGAAAATTAGTGAAGTTTCTTATGCTTCAGAGTGAAGAAGGTGGGGGATCATCTCCAAGCCTCCTCAGAAGAAAAAGGGCTGCTGGCATGGGGAGTGGATAGATTTATGAACCACCTTCAGATGGTGGCGGAAACCCAAAGCACAGAAGTGGAGCAGAACTGAGACACGCAGCAGCAAGTGGGGGAGCAGAAGTCAGAGTGCCTCAGAAGCTGAATTAGGGATTTTCCAAGTGTCTCCCTGGCTCAGGAGGCACTGCAGGGTCAGCCCCGTGCTGGTTTCAGCCTTGGGGTGAACGAGCCCTGTGCAACCTCCCCATCCCTTCCCTGCACACACCCAGATCCTCAGCCACAGCTCTGATCCCACACTGGGAGGGGAATTCTTTCCATTCACCCACAAACATCTCCCTTTTCCTGAGGGAGAGAGGCAGGCAAGGAGTCTCACCCAGATTTTGGGCAGTGATGGGGCTTTGGCTGGTCCCCACAGCACCTGTGAGCATCACCTGCTGTGAGCTGCACCCCTGCTCTGCTCTCTGCATTCAGGCCCTTCTCTTTCCTCTCCCCTGGCAGATATTTTTATTCAGTCAGTCAGATTTCCACCTACACACACACCTACACAGCACTGCTGTGGGAAAAACACAGCTAGACTGGGAATATATCCATGGAGAACTGGGATCAGGATCACGTTCTTGTGAGGATGGCTGGGGTCTGTTATTTGTCTGGCACGTCAGGCAGTTCTTGTGGAGAACACACATGGAAATGCTCCTCCAAACCAGCTCTCCCTGTTCAAACATTTTATATGTTCCAATGCCCCTCATCTTCTGTCCTCAGTGCAAGTTTGGGGTGTGTTTTATGCTGTGATTGTGATTTTATTCATTGCTGTCCAACACCTCTTGTAAATGAACACAAAGTGGGCGTTACCATGGTTGTAGTAAGGAGAAAACTGCACTCCTGATGGAGGAGAAAAAACCTTTAGAACCGTTTCCTCTTTTCCCCCTCCTTTCTCCTTCACTCTGCATGTGCACCACCCACTCCCTGTCCTTTGTTTTCTTCAGAGCATGAGGAGTTGGAGCTGCAGCCAAACCTAAGCTTATGCAGTGTGAAAATAAACCAAAATAAACTCACCCACTCCTCCCAGAACCTTGGGGGGGGGATTTTTGATCAACTGATCGACCAAACCTTTGCCACATCCAGCCCAGAGAGGCCGTGCAAGGAGGGGAGGTGAGGGAAGGGCCTCCCCAAACCTGACTGGGGGCTCTTTCCCTTTGTGGCTGCAGCCAAGGCGGCGCCGTTCGTGATCCAGAACCTGACGGATATGGAGGTGAACATCAGCGGCAAGATCCTGCTGGAGTGCAGGGTGAGTGGGACACCAGAGCCACGGGTCAGCTGGAGGAAGAACGGCTACCCCATCTCAGCAGCGTCAGGTGAGCTCCTGCTCCCCAGAACCGTTTGGAATGTGGATAATGGACTGGCAGGGTGACCGTGGCACAGGACCCGTGACTCGGAGCACACACAAAGATCCATGCAGGGGTCTCCAGCTCTGAGTCTGAGGTCAGAGGGAGCTGCTGTGTGCAGAGCCAGCCCAGCACAGGTTAGCACAGCTCTGGGAAATCAGGGAGCACTGATGAGGTGTGAGACCAGAGCTTGGGCACAGAACAGGGTGCCCCTGTGTCAGGTGGGTCTGGCACACAGGCCTGAGCTCTCAGCTGTCCTGGTCACCCTAAACTGCAGCAAAGTCACCTGCCAGAGGGGTCCAGGGCATGATGTGGCATGGGAAATGTCCTTTGTTTCCCACAGCAGAGTGATGGGAACGTGCTCTCAGCTCTGTGGGACTGAGCCCTACAGAGCCACCATGGGCAGGGAGCCTCACCTGAGCCTACAGCTCCCTCAGCAGCTCCCTCACCTGAGCCAGGTGCCTTCCCAGCCCCGTGCCACGGAGTCATGGGATGTGCTGAGCTGGAAGGGAGCCACAGGATCATCCAGCCCAGCTCCTGGCCCTGCACAGACCTCAAAAACCCCACCCTGGGCCTCCCTGGAGTGCTGTCCAAACCCTCCTGGAGCTCTGGCAGCCTCGGGACCGTTCCCTGGGCAGTGCCAGCACCCTCTGGGGGAAGAACCTTTCCTGATATCCCACCAAACCCTGCCCTGGCCCAGCTCCAGCCCTTCCCTGGGTGCTGTCCCTGGGAGCAGAGGTTGGAGCTGTCCCTCATGAGGACGTTGAAGAGTGCAGTGAGGTCTCTCCTCAGTCTCCTCCAGCTGAACAAACCAAGTGCCCTCAGCCTCTCCTCAAAACACCCCTCCAGAGCCTTCCCCATCCTCGTGGCCTCCTTTGGATGCTCTCCAATGGCTAAATGTCTTTTTTATATTGTTGTGCTCAAAACTGCACTGCAGGTGAGGCTGCCCCAGTGCAGAGCTGAGTATGTCCCGGGTCCTCCCATAAATCATGGAGAATCCCATGTCAACAGCTGCTCCTGTGACTTTAATTTTGCAACTTGGACTAGCTAGGAAATCTAGGATCATCCATAATTCAGATCAGAATGTTCTAAGAGAAACTCTTTATAGCTCCTGAAATTTTATAAATAATTCTAGAGGGACAAGCATGTAACTCATCCAACCAATGGAAACATAAATAAAATATTTGGAAAAAACACCTCAGGGTAAATATTTCAGCACAGTGCATGGCAAGTTGTGTGCAGTACTCTTGTTAACAACGGGATTCACAGGCAGAACACCCAGAAATTCAAAATGTCCTTCCCTTTTGGATTCCAAGCCTGACCCGCTTCCCTATTTCCACCCCAGTCATCCCCTCAGTGATGAACTGTCACTGTGGTACCACAAATCAGGAAAAATGAAATTTGGAAAATTAAATGTGGAAGAGTCACCTGGCTGCCTGTGGATCCAGGATTGCTTCACACCATTCCAAGAAGTGCCTGAGTTCCATGTTCCCCATGTTAGAAGCCACATCCCTTCCCACAGCCTTCAGTAACTCCACTGAGTTCCCATTTTTCCTAGCGTGTCTTTCTGCTGTCAGCACCAGTCCTGCATCCCTTTGCTAACTTCTGGATTAGTTTCCAGCTTCTACCCACTCTAAATCAACAGCCACATTTGCTGGTTTTTAAATGATGCCAAATAATTGATCCAGGTGTTGAAGAGGAAAAAAAAAAAGTCAGGAAAGGTTGCCAGAGCAGGATGAGCACAGGATTAAAATGTGTCCTGACACCAGAGCCTGCATGGATGGCAGCTGACCTTCACTCCTGTCTCCTAAAAGCATTTTTGGCAGGTAGGTTATTGTGCCAACATTAACCAAAATGCCTTAAAACAGGAATTTCCATGGAAAACAACACCCTGGTGATTGAGAGAGTGAAGAAGGATGACGAGGGGCTCTACGAGTGCCGCGCCTCCAACGACCTGGGCCAGGACAGCACATCAGCCTTCATCAAAATCCAAGGTGAGGGGATGCAGAATTCTAGCAGGCTCCCTCAGGGATGTTGGACACATTTCCAAGCTGGCTGTACATCACCCACAGGTTCTGAGGAGAAATCCAACATTGAGGTGATCATCCTGGTGTGCACGGGGCTGGCTGCCACCCTCTTCTGGCTCCTCCTGACCCTCTTCATTCGCAAACTGAGAAAGGTGAGAGAGCTCCCGTCCTGCACAAAGGCTGGGATCTACCTCAGCTCCAGAGTTTAGGGACAGATGGTAGAAAAACTGGGAAAAATGTCCTTGTAAAATTCAGCCCATGGTTTGTGTTGACTTCTCCAGAGAACCCTTGCACTTGAGAGGTTTCCAGCCACTTCTGTGGACCCATGAGATCAGGCTCCTTCCTTTTTATGAGTCAAACTGGCTTGTGAGAATTACAAAAAAATACCCTAAATCCTCTAAAATGAGGGCTTGATTTCAGCACTTGACTCTAAAAGATATTAAAGAAAGATCCCAGGCTGTCTGCTCTAGAAATGAGCTCAAACCACACAGCTGATTTCATCTCCTTGCTTTTTTTTCCTCCTCCCTTTTGTGACTCCAGAAGTAAACCTGCAGTGAATGTCCCAGGAATTTAGGTGGGTTTCTCCTGAAACAAACAGCAAACAGAAAGGCAAGCACAGCTCTCTGCTCTGCTCTCACCAAACTTCAGTCCTGCTGCTGATCTCCAACATTTGAGTAAAATTTCCCCTCCTCTTGTAAACACGGAGATTAAATTCACATTTTCGTCCTTGGCCTCAGGTTACCAGAGCTGTGGACAACATTGAATTTCCTCTTACACTTCACACCTGTGCAAGTCTGCTCACAGAACCCACCCAACCACAATTTCTCACTTTAGCAACATCACAAATTGCAATTTCCAGCAGCTTCCCACCAATTTTATATTGCAGTAAGTTGCAGGAGGAAGTGGAGAACTGTGGAGAATCAACACCTCAGAACAAAACACGGTGACAATGCCAAAATATGCAGCAGGAAGTGCAGATCCTGCAGTTCCCATGGAAAACCAGTGGTTTCCTTTGGCCAATCCAGGTAGATTTTGTGTTTCCCAGCACCAAGAGCCAGGAGTGGCAGCCACACACAACCATTTGTGTCCCAGCTGTAGAACAGAGGAGGAAACTGCAGTGATGCATTCCTGGCTCAGAATAAATTTGCCTGGAAGGCAGGGAACTCCCCAGGCAGCTCCCTCCCTTTGGAATTGCCGAGTAAATCCCCTGAATGATTTCTCCCTGCCCTGTTTTTAGCCCGATGCCACAGATATTAAAACAGGATACCTGTCAATTATCATGGACCCCGAGGAGATGCCCCTTGACGAGCAGTGTGACCGCCTGCCCTACGACAGCAGTAAATGGGAGTTCCCCAGGGACAGGCTGCGCCTGGGTGAGTGATTTGGGGTCACAGCTTGGGGGGAAGGATGATCCCAAATGCTTCCCAAAGGCAGTGGAGCTGTTGGATAACCCAGGAAGAAGCCAGCACAGTGCCAGGGTACTGCCACCCTTGGATCTGGGATCCCAGAATTCAGGGTGAAATGAGGGATTTGGAAAGAATCTGTCAAAATAGCTGCCACTTTTTTTCCTTGGGAAAGGGAAGCCAAACTCTTGGCAGGGAGGAAAGATACCTCCAGGTACTGTCCCTGCCAAAAGTGTGATTTCATTCCCATAGAGGAAGAAGGAAAGTGAATTTTCTTTTGAAGAAAGCTATCAATTCATCAAATAATCACTTCCTTATCAGCCATCAGAACTCAGCTTTGAGCTGTAAAAAGCTCTCATGGAAAAATGAGCCACATTTCACTGAACAGCTCAGCTCACTGGCTGATGGAGTGAGAAAAGGCAAAAAAGCTGGCTGTGTTTGTACAGCAAAACTGTAACATCTGTGTGCTCTGATGAGTGCAGGGAAAATATCTGTGTTTGTGTGTGCTCTCGGTGCTGCAGCTGGAAAACGTGGAAGGAGGAGAGGGCAGACAAAAATCACAAAATCTGAGGTGATGGTGGGACAGAGTCAAACTGGCAGAACCAAAAAGCCAGAGGCTGGATCAGAGCCCTCAGAGAACACCAGATAGCACGGACAGGAAAATCCAGATGAAAGGGAAAAGAAAGAAAAGTTATCATCCTAAATTCTATTTAGTTCAGTTTTCCCATCAAATCAATGTCAACAACCAAAGGGTTAAAGGGCTGTGACTCCCTGAGTGCCTTGCTGGCTCTCTCTGTGATCCATGAGAGGTCAGGGTGGCACAATTAGCCCTTATTAACACAATTAGCCTTCCCTCGACTCCAGGATAGCCCCCAGGTAAAGTTTCTCCCCTCAATCCCTGTAGGTCTCAGCCTTGGTGAGCACAGTGATTTCCCCTCCTCTGTTCTCTCCCGTGCTCTCTTGCATCCAGGCCATATGGATAGAGATCCCTGGCTATCCATATGCTGCAGGATGTGGTTCAGGCTGCTGTGGCCGTGCCCTGTGCCTGGTTCTCCTGCACAGCTGAGGTTGCATGTCCCCTCCTGCCTGGTGCAGCCTGGGCTCACTCTCGACTCTTGCTTCTCTAGGTAAAACTCTGGGTCATGGTGCTTTTGGGAAGGTGGTGGAGGCGTCTGCTTTTGGCATTGATAAATCTTCAACCTGCAAAACAGTTGCCGTAAAAATGCTGAAAGGTACAGAAATCCCTCTGAGAGGACGCTGAGGGAAGGCGGGGGGCAGCGAGGGGCACGGTGCTCGGCTGCCAGGCTCGCTGTGCCCTGTGGGGAGTGGGTTTCCATGTGGGAATCAGCCATCCTGGCTGGATGTGAGGGGAGGAAACGCCAGCAGCTGTGCTGCTGATTAAGGCTTGTATTCCTCGAGGAAGAAAACAGCAGCTTCCAGGTCTGTGAGGTGAGGAGGGGAAGAGATTATGGAGCGTAATTACACGAGATAGCCCAAAATTGGAGCTGAGCCTTCCAGATGGAGAACAGTTCAAGGGGCTGGAAAAAAACCCCAGTGCCAGGGGAGTAAATTGGAGACATCTTGCTTGCAGTTGTTGAAATGAAGGGAAGCTTTTCCCGTTGGGTGGAGGAAGGAGGGAACTCAGAGCCCTCTCTTGCACGCTGGGTTTGCACACACCAGGAATGAACGCGTCAGCCACACGCTGCCGGCTGGGACAGGGCCTGGCACTGCTCCTGAGGGTGATCCCATAGCTCAGTCCATGCTGCCATGGCCCTCACAGCTCCATCCTGCTGCATGACATCCTTAACCCCTGCAATGCCACCAGCCAGTGACTGCTGCCACCAGGCTTGGCTTCTGCTGCCTCTCCTGGAGCTCTGCTACTGCCATCTCTCTGAAATCACAAAAACACACATTTATCACCTCTCTGGACCTCCTTCAGGTCTGGTCTCCCCTCTCTATTTTCATCCTTGTGATCATCTTCTCTCCTACTGTTGTGTCTTCTGTTCCATGCCCATTTCCAGATCCCTGAAATACCCTAGAAACCCCTGATCCAGACATATTCCCACCTCCATCAAAACATGCTGCCCTGGACAGCTCTGGGGCTTCATTCCCTTCCATGCTGTGCTTCCCAGCTGATCCTCATGTCAGCTCTGCCCTGCCAGCACATCTTCAGCAATATTTGGCAGATTCTCCATCGTTTTACACCTCCCTCCCCCCGTGGAGGCAGCTGCCTCCTGCTCTGGTCTGCCCTCCCCAACTAACGTGCCCATAATTCATCACTTCCATGAAAAAAGCAGATTCTCTAGCACCAGTCAGTCCATCCAGGGAATTCAAAAGGCTCTGGAGATGCCTGCATTTCTGCCATCTCCATGCAGCACGCTCGGGTCTGTTCTGGATTGAAGGCTAAAATTCAATGTGCAGAATTATCTAAATAATTCCTGAGCTGGCTGCGTGCTCAGCACATGCCAGGGGAAATCAGGAGTGATACCACCAACCACTGCTGACTGAAGGAATCTTGGAACAGCTCCTTCTTTATGACACACTTTGGAGAAAGATTATGGGGAATTCTCCAAACAGATAAAGAGGTTACACCTGTCACACCAAATGATTTGTTGCATAACTGTTTCTTCACCCTTAAATCTTACATGATGGAAAGGAAACAGGCCAAAGCCTCTCCTGTTAAAATACATCATGGAAGTTTTGGGAAGATAAAGCAGCATCTGAAAAACCTTCTGGTCTGAGAGTGCCTGCCTTAAAATAATGTCACTGGCCAGCCAGGGCCTCCGTTGTCAGGTTCATGGCTCACACACAGATATTAGAAAAGGTATTTCTCAGGTCAATAAGATCTCACAGGCCTGAGATTTCATAATGCTGTGCATTCTCTGGGACATTTTGGGACAGCTTCCAGATGTGTGGATTCCTCAGCACCTGCAGTGGGGAGTTCTGAGGTATTGTAACCCAGTCCTGCTGAAGTGCCCAGCCCAGCAGAGGGGAAGGGACACGTGCTGTGTGCTGTGGGGGCTTGCAGAGGCTGCCTTTGCTAAGCTTGCAAACCTGAGTCCTGGCAAAGGCTCTGTGGGATCAGGTTTGGGGGAAGGGACCGTAACCCTCCATAACCCACACTCGAGAAAGGAAGAGTCACCCAAAAGATAAAGTGTTATCCTGCTTCATAAAGGTCAGCAGACAATGAAACGGATGAATTATTATCTGTGTGTGAGAGTCTGAAAAGCCAAGATACTGCGAGGAACCTGGGTGGGTTTTGTTTCAAAGGATAAACAGGATCTTGCTGTGTCCTGTTGAAAATATCCTGTTGTGTAAAGATGATTTTTTTCCTGTTTATCTTAAGCAGAATGTGCAACTACTAACGAATGCAAGGCTCTAATGTCTGAGCTGAAGATCCTCATCCATATAGGACATCACCTGAACGTGGTCAACCTGCTGGGAGCCTGCACCAAAGCTGGAGGTGAGGAGTCCTCAGTAAATGGGAAGCAGAAAAGAAAACACTTTTCTGGCACTTTTTGGGTGTTTGGAAGTGCCTGTGGTGCAGCCAGTGCAAGTGCAGCCATTTCCAGCTCTGTGCTCACAGGAGAGCTGCTCCTGCAGGATGTAGCCTCATCCCACCCAGGGCTCTCCCACCAGGGATGTCACCTTTCTCTGGAGGCCTGTTCCCAAAAGGGACTCTGCACTGCAGGGAGGAGAACACTGGATTGCAGTGAGGTGCCCAATTCCTCCCCGTGGCCATTTCCACCCTTCTTCTCCCTCTCCTTCCCTGCACTTCACCCTCTCCTGGCAAACCCAGCAGGCTCTGCCCTGTGTTCAGGAAGCCTGGCACAGCCCTGGGTGCAGCAGAGCAGGGATTTCCACAGAGCTGAGTTGGCATCATGCAAAGTCCCATCAATTTCAGACCTTTGTCACTAAACCATCCCTTCCCACACTGCAAAGCATCCGGACCTCTCACCGTGCTTCAGCCTCTGGGGAGCAGCTCTGGAGGATGGCTCCTCACTGCTGGCCTTCAAAATCTTCAAAACCACCCCCAACAGACAGGTTTAGGTGACCTGAGGGCAAGGGAAACCCCAGAGTGAAAGAAGTGAAGGGGGAAACTCAAGAGAGATGGATCTCTCATCATCTCACAGCCCAAAACCATCAGTTCCCAACAGTTGTTATCCAGTCACGAGGGAAAAGGAAAACTTCAGTGAGGTAGGTTTGGGAGGAAGCCAGGGAAGGAATCTTTCCTCCAGCAAGGTGGTTCTGGTTCCTCGGGAAACAGCAGCCATGGACACTGCTGGGATCTGGGAGACGTGGATGGGGACATCCCAACAACTGCAGCACTCCAGACCCCAAAAGCTTGTGTGGGAGCAAGGGCAGCTCCAGCTGGAGGGGTTTGGGGCTCAGGTGCAGCAGCCAGGAGACTTTGCTTGGGACTGAGCAGAGGGGCTGGGACACTGGGAGTGCTGGTGACACTGGGAATGCTGGTGATACTGGGAATGCTGGTGATACTAGGATTGCTGGTGACTGGGAATGCTGGTGACACTGGGAGTGGTGGTGACACTGGGAGTGGTGGTGACACTGGGAATGCTGTGCTTTGCTGACAAGTCCCTGAGGGGGCTCAGGACAAACAGGGGATTCAAACCTGGCAGCAGAAACAGGGCTCAGTGGTTCTTAACCAGAGCAGCCCCAGAGCTCTGCTTGCACAGACACCTCAGGATTGATCAAAGGCTCTCAGTTCCCAGTTTCTGAGAAACCTTTTTCTCCCAGGAGTTCTTTGATTTCCCATTGTCCATCCTGGCCCATCCTGGGTGGGGTGACCCTCCCTCCTCCCTGCCTGGGGACACCTTTGGGGGCAGAGTCTGGAGCAGAGGGGTGCAGCAGGACCCCACAGGGCACGGAGGAGCCTGGGGCAGTGCAAGTGCAGACTAAAGGAACACAGCCTTGAGCTCCAGAGGCAGACAGGGATCCCAGCTCCTGTGAAATTCCAGAGCTCTCCCCTCCCCTGCTAGGCTTTATGTAAGTTGTATTCCTGATGGAGACTGGTATTAAGTATGCACATACATTACTTTAACAAGGTAGCAAATAACAGAATTTAACACTTTGGCGGAGTGTCTGATGTTCAGCAGTCAGAACTAATGCGGTGTGTGCTTTACAATGAGGGAACAAAATAAGAGGAGGCCATGTCTAGGAAGCGTTTTCAAAACCATGAATAAATCACTAAGCAGAGCTTTAAAGCTGCTCTGGAATCTGCATTTCCTCAGGGCATCCATGAGGGACATTGGATTTTGGGTTCTTCAGAGCCAAATCTCTTGAGCAGGGCCAGATCCCAGTGCTGAGCAGAGCTCTGGGGTCAGCACTGGAACCATTGAGCTTTGGGGATTTGGGGTTGGTGTTTTTGCAGCCACTATAAGGTTTTAAGGCTTGTTCCAGCCTCAGGCAGAGGCACTGGGGGTCCTGGAGAGCCCCAAGGTGTGCACTCAAGGCAGGGCTGGAGGGCTGGGGTGAGTGCAGAGCCTGCAGGGATCCACAGGGAGCACCACGGGCTGGGTTCTGCCTGTAGGAATTCAGCATCTCCCTTTCTGTGGGACCCAAAGGCTGCTCCTCTCCCTGCCCCACACTGTCCCAGGGTCACTGTTCCCTCTGAGGATGCAGGAATTCCAGCAGGAATCCTGCTGAGCTCCTTCCCCAAGGCCAAGTGCAGCGCTCAGCGCTTCCCCTTTGAACTGCAAACTCCTCATGGACCTTCTCCAGAGAAAAATGTTCTGGACATGAAAGTCTTGGTGTCTGGGGTAGATAATATTCCATGTTTATCCACATCCCAGTCCCATGAATTCACCTTACCTTACTTTTGATGATTACAAAAAGTAAAGGTGCAGAATGCAGCTTATCCCTTCCCAGACATCTCACACTGCAATTAAAAAGCATTTCAAGCAGCTCTTAAAAACCTGCATCATTGTGTGAAAGCAGCACTGAATCTACCGTGGTTTGCAGAGGAATAAGGAAGAAAGTGAGAGCACTTTCCAGGCTTTCAGAAACTTCAGGCTGAGTATTTTTGCAGCTTTTCATTTAGATCTGTCTATGGCCCTGCATACTTTGATTTCCTCTAGTGGCATCAGCTCCACCCAAAACAAACAATTGTGAAGCCAGCAGAGAAAATGAAAACTATTCCATGTACACAGCAAACCAACCTTAACAGCATCTGGGATTGTGTTGATCATCCTGAATTTTTCTTGTTTATAATTTAGGAATAAATACCAACTGTCACCATCCAATGGGGAAAACTAAGAATGTGTTTCCTTCTCTCCACATCCCTGCTGGCTGTGTTACTCCTGTGTTTCCTCATTTCCTCATCTGTACAATAGAAATGCCACTTATTTTGAGGAGGATCTGGTAGGATAAATTAGAATTATGTGCTTTGCAGTGCCTCAAAACTCATTTGACTTTCACTGTCTGTTTTAGGTCCTTTAATGGTCATAGTGGAATATTGCAAATATGGAAATCTGTCCAACTATCTCAGAGGGAAACGAGGAGATTTCATTGCATACAAGGTAAGAAAATGAGACTTCTCACAGTCACGAGGCAGGGAATCAACAACCACTGACAAAAGCTGGATTTGCTCTGCATTGGCACAGAGGCAGTTGGGTATTTCTATGGGCACTTCATTTTCTCTCCACATTTCAATTTGTACAAGCAAGAAGAGGGATTGTTTTGGTTTTTTTTCCCCTGCAGGATCTCAGTGATGTCCTCTTGTAGCATCTCCTAAAGAATTAGTTGCAAGTCCCCAAACACTCCAGAGCACTTGAAGGAGAGGGAATTACTTGTGAGATACTTCCCAGCACAAGGGGGGCAAAAAATATTAGTGAACAACTGGAATTAACTGAACTAGGAGAAGGTGAACCCTCCCAAAAACAAATCTGGCTTGGGGATTTTTTTGTTTCTTGGCCCCAAGTGAAAAGAGCTCATCCTTCCCCCATCTGCTCTTTCCCATCTTCCGTCCCTTCCCCTGTGCCAGCCCTGAGATCTGTGTCTGGATGATGGATATTCTGCATCAAAACCAATCAAATGTTTGGTTCCCTAACAGTTCTCTGCATCCACACAAACATCTGTTCCAGCACAGACTGGGCTGGGATGGGAGCAGGACACAGGAGCAGAAATCAGAGCTGGGGAGGGATGGGACTGACTCCTCCTCGTGAATATCCAGTGTGGAACAGGCTCTGTGATCCCAGCCCTGCCAGAAACTGCAGCCTCACCAAGATGATTTTCCCAGATTATTCCAGTACTATTATTATTATTATTATTATTATTATTATTATTATTATTATTATTATTATTACTGCTATTGTGTACGCAAGGGACTTTGTGTGAGTGAAAGAGATTTTCCTGGTGCAGTCACCCAGGATTTCTTTCTCACCATTGTTGCCATGGTTTGAGGGCTGGTTGTGCCTCACTCCCCAGCACAAACACGTCAGTGCCCATCACCTTGAGGGGATTTTTACCATCCTAAGACAGCAAGAGAATTACAGCTTCTCTCTGCTCTCCTCTCAGTCTCACCCAGCCAGCTTTCAGCTAACTCTGATGTGGAATATTGCTCTCAGTGGAAGGGAAATAATCAGTAGGAATAAATAGGAAACCAGGCTTTATTGGTTTGTAATTAGAACTAATAAAACCTGGTTTCCTATTTGTTCCCAATTCAGGAAACATCATGTTCAAATGCTCATCTTCAGAGGACCCTTTCTCCTTATGCCATTCTGTCACATACTTTGAGTCCCCAAGCTTTTCACACAAAGCTAAAAATTGGGTTTATGCCATTTCCAGTCCCAGGAAAGCTCTGACCAAGCAGAGAAAAGTCTGGATGAGTCCAACAGTGATTTGACTGAACTGATCAAGAGGCGCCTCGAGAGCGTGGCCAGCACAGGCAGCTCTGCCAGCTCAGGATTTATTGAAGATAAGAGTTACAGTGACTCAGAAGAGGATGAAGAAGGTAAAAGAACCCCACCTCATCCCCAAGCTTTTGTTGGGAAGATTTCTTGTCACTTGGTTAGTGCCACACATGCTGTCACACGCTTTACAAGCCCTTACATGGCTTGGCTTGTCCCTGAAATCCCAAATTCTTCCCCTTGCCTGTTCCCCACTCCAAGTTTCTCCCAAAGAGAGAGCTTTGTATTGTGTACAAAAGCTGTTCCTGCTGTGTGAGAGGAGGAGTAGGAATGCTTTACCAGACTTGTGAGGTCACTCTGTCCCTGGGCTCTTGTCTATAAAGTTTCCCTCACTTCCAGCCTGAGGTGTTGTTTCCCCATAGCTGAATGAGTGACTAATGGATGAGGGAACTTTGTTCCTCATCTGATCTTCTGCCTCTGGGTCAGTGGCTGCTCACCCAGAGCTGCAGCCCTGCACAGATCTCACCCCCAGCACTCAGGTGCCACCCAGCTCTTGCTGCAGGGTTTTGCCACATCTCTGATCTCTCCTAGATGCTGAGGATCTGTACAAGAGGCCCCTGACTCTGGAGGATCTGATTTGCTACAGCTTCCAGGTGGCAAAAGGCATGGAGTTCCTCGCCTCCCGAAAAGTGAGCTCACTCAGACTTCTTGCAGAGTGTCTGATATGAAGAAACCCAAACACACTTTTGAGTCTGAGGAATCTGCTTTTTGCTCTCCTATCAGAGTGCTGGAGATCACGTTGGCTCTGGTGGTTAAGCAGTAATTAGCACTGAAGGGGTTGTGGAGGAACATTCATCATGGTCATGGCTGCAGGGACTGGCATCTGCAGCAGGAGGGTTTAGGTAGAAGGAGTGAATACAGATTGTGAGACAATTTCTGGAACTGCCTCAGAAATAAACACAGAAAGGGCCTGTAGAGAAAGCTCCTTTTAGTGTGGTGAACAACAACACTACTGAAAAATGAGGAGGGAGTATCCAGTTCTTCCCTTAGTTTGTCAGAAGTGTTGGGGACTGTCAGCAAGGTCAGCACCTCTTGGATAAATGAGAAGCAGTTTGTAGCCTGTGGGATGCCTTTTCAGGAAGGTGCAGGGCAATCCGCAGCCCAAAGTGTGCAGACAACTGAACCTGCACTCACACACAGCCACCAGGACAGCCCCAGAAATCCTGGGCAGGGTGATCCCATCTCACATGGACCTGCACTGGCAAATGGAGCTGCAGCTGCTTTTTGGCCTCTCCATAATTTCCCATGGATCAGCTGATTAGAAAATAGGACTCCCTCCCTTGTAACTGTGAAGTTATTTCAGACAGAAAAATCAGAAGCCTGACTCTGGCTTGTTCCCTGAGTTATTCTCTCTTTTGCATATCACAGTGTATATCTTTCACACTTCATTTCTTTCCCCCCTCCCAAAGAAGCTCTCCTGCTTCCAGCTCCAGCAGGGGCTCCTTGCCCAGCCCCCTCTGACCCCCTGTCATTCCCTGGCAGTGCATCCATCGGGATTTGGCAGCCAGGAACATCCTCCTGTCCGAGAACAACGTGGTCAAGATCTGTGACTTCGGCCTTGCCAGGGATATTTATAAAGACCCCGACTACGTACGGAAGGGAGATGTGAGTGCAAGGAGCTTCAGTTGGCACCCTCAAGTTGGGCTTGGGCAGATCAGTGACAGCACATCTGGCAACCTGTTGTGTCTCTGGCTTTCAGGCACGGCTTCCACTCAAGTGGATGGCTCCAGAAGCTATTTTTGACAAAATTTACACCACGCAGAGTGACGTGTGGTCTTTCGGAGTGCTGCTGTGGGAAATATTTTCTCTAGGTAAGAATGGTTTCAAACCCTTTTTTTCCCCTCTAATTTATGGCTGCTTAGCTAAGAAAAGCTTTTAACAAGAGGTGGTCATGCAGGGCAGTGTTTGTGTTTCACTGAGGAGAAGTGCACAGTGCAGAATCAGGTGTAAAATAAAGCAAATTTCAAGGAGAACTCCACCTGACAAAGGACATGTAAACACTGGGGAGGGGGATCAAAAATCTGGTGCAGGCAGCCCCAGAGCTCCAGGGCTGCAGAGTCACCCTGCTGTGGGCACAGGGGTGCTGCTGGCACCATGGGACACCAGCCCACACAGATTCATCCTAGCTTGACCATCCACCCCACAAAATCAAAGATTTTCTAGCTAAGAAAAATCTCCTGGCAGCAGCTGCTGTTGGGTTGGTGCAAGGACCACTGCTGAGCTCAACCTGAGCCCTTTTGGCAGCAGAGCAAGGGCAGACCATGGGCTCTTGTCTCTGCATCATTTGCAAACCACAACATTTCTAAAAGGATAAAAATGATGTTCTTTATGTGTTCAAGATTTCATTCCAGGGTGCTGTTAGAAACCTCAGCCTCGCTGAGCTCTGCTTTCTGTGCAGCAGATAAAGCTGTGAGACCTGGACAACCTTCACTGTGCTGCTCTCAGATCCTCCTTGCAGAGGGGCAAGATTCGTTTTCCTGAGGGAATTTAGGAATGTCAGCTCTGGCTTTTTAATCAGCATTTACAGACAAAAGAAAACAAGAAGCATTGTTAACTTAAGCTGCTGGATTTTAAAGCAAACTCTAATCTCTTTCTATCTTTAGCTCATGGATCAGTTGAAATTAATGATTGGGCTCAAGATGCCAAGTGAAAATGCAAAGTCTGGAGCTGTTTCTATCCTAATCTTTACTTAGGGCTGGCTACAAAATCATAACCTGCTCTCAGTCCAAGTCTTTGATGTGGACTTTTCCCTGCTCCACATCTGCACACCAAGCAGAAAGTTCACACTTGAGTGGTTGAAACAAGTGGCAGCTCCTGCTTTCGCTGGGGTCCAGCCCTGGCGTTGTTATTTTGGGGTGAGCCCTCCATGGCTCTGTAACAGCATCACCTGCTGCAGCTTCAGAAACAGCACAGAAAGGCAAAGCTCCAGTAGCACCAGGTTTTATCAGATTATTCAGGAAGATGCTTTAGCATCAGCAGCTAGAGACACACTCAGGTAACAGGGTCTCCCCTGGGAACCAGAGGAATGGAGTGCTGATGAATCCAAGGGGCACTGCAGGAACAAACTTTGTGTCACTCCCAAAGGTCCTGACAGAATTTAACAGATGGCCTTTAACTCTGAACACTACTACGAATTAAAACCCACTCAGTGAAATCCACCTCTATTTTAATCTATTTAAAAAAAAAAACAAAAACATTTTAGCTGGGTTCTTTTAGCCCCTTCTAAATTTGTAAATCTCCCAAAAGGCTGCAGGGGCTGCCACCCGTGCAGCAGCCTCTGCCCTGGTGTGTGATGTAGATCAAAAAGTGCTTTTTCACTTGGTGGCACAGGCTCAAAACCAGTCATTTTCTCTGAGAGGGTTTTTCATCCAGCTCATCCAGGCATGCCTGTGGTTTGGCACGGCTCACATCTGCAGCTCAAACGATAAATATTTAATTAAGGATTTGTGTCACTGATTGAATTCTGTCATAGAAAAGTTTTACAGATCGTTGAGAGCCACGGGATGGAAGTTATTTATCGTTGCCACAGGGTGTGTTTTGGCTCCCATTTACAGCTGCTGCTCTCACTGGGTCCCACAGACAGAGCACCCTCGAAAAAAAGGGAAAAATACTGATTAGGAAACTGCAGAGTGTAGATTGTGTCCTGGCAGGGTCAGAAGCTGAGTGAAGGACAAGAGGCTGCCTGCAGGACTGGCAGCCTGGATCTGCATTGGTGATGCACAGGGAAATCAGGACTTGAGGGAATATTCATTTCCATCTGGGGCTGAGTTTGCAATGAGCTTTAAATTATTCAAATGGGGTCAGCACACCTCGTGTCAGGTGGTGCCAGCAGTGTTTAACACATCCTGAAATCACTGGCAGAATGTCGGTGTCTCCTGGAATTTCAATGTGAGCTGTTCCAAAAGCAATCAGAGATAATTATGTAAACAAGCAGTGCCTGGTAGTAACATCAGCATCTCATTATCCCACTAAAATAAAACCAAGATCAAAAGAGGGCTCCATATCCAATGCATGCCACATCTTTGAGCATTTTGAAGGAGATTTCCCCTAAGGAAAACATCCTGTGTAGGCCTTACACCATATGTTCCAGCCTACATTTCTCCCAAGCTGTCTCAGCATTCCAAATCCAAGTTATCAGACTTATCCCATAGTCCAGATAAAGACAGTGCTCAGTGAGAGTGGGAAAGGGAGAGCTCCTTGTTTTTATGATCTGAGCTGCCTCCAGCTGGTAGGAGGCCAGCACTGGCCAAAATGTAAACTACCAAAAGATCCTGAAGTCAAAAATGAATCCTAGACTCCTGCTTCCAGCCTGGTTCTGAGCACTGCCAGGGTTGGGGCATCCACAGCTTTTCTGGGAAACCTGTGCCAGGGCCTCACCACCCCCAGTAAAATATTTCATCCTAATATTTGACCTAAGTGTCCCTTCTTTGAGGTTGTCCCATTACTCCTTGTCCTATCACTCTTACCCTTTGCCTTCCCTGTATTTGCTCTCACCAGCATCTTGCAGCTGATCTGATCTGTGGTGTGAACAGAGAGAGAACTGGGATTGTGAGAGAAAGAGGAATTCTCCATCTGTGAGATGAGCAGCTCACTATTCTGAGCATAATGACAGGCCACAGGCAGGGCTGGGAAGGAAAATCTGGGTACAAAGCAGAAATGATCAGTCCTGTGCTCTGGTGCTTGCACATCCAGGGAATTCAGAAGTGGGGAAGCATCCCTGGGCTCTGGATGTCCTGGGAGCCCATTTGTGCTGAGATTCCTTCCCAGGCAGTGCTGGGATCTTGGCTCCCCAGTGCCCACTGAGCTGTCAGGTCCACAGAGCAGAACAATCCTGGAAGCAGCCACGTTTTGGCCCCTTCTTCAATGCTTTGTCCAAAAGATTTCTGCTGCTCTCGTTGTGCCCCCAAGTGCACAGCACATGATGGTGTTTCCAAATGGGGGGAAAAATTGCAGGAAATATGCAGGAATGTTATAGACAGTAAATCATACACAGATTCCTCGAGGGCTGGATACAGATTCCATTCAATCTCCTACGTTAAGACTTGATTAAATTGTTTCCAAATTCATCATCCAGCCTCTGGGATGTCAGAAGGGTTGTGCTGGATTGGAAGCCTTTGCTGAGGGAGGGAGGGAAGTTACAAATCTTTTAGTGTTATCCACGGTAGATTCAGTAACATTTCAAACTTCAGATTTCTCCTGAATTTTCCCCAAAGTTCTGTGGGAGTTAACACAAAGCTCCCAGCCCTTCACAGCATCCAACCTCTGCAAAGCAATTCCAGTTGCCACGGGCTGCCCTGCCAGGGTTCAGCCAACACCTGAGTGGCACTGGAGGAAAACAGCAAGGAACAGGTGGCCAGGAAAGAAAACAAGGCTGAAAAGCTGGAAGGTCACTGCAAGGAGGATAGGCAAGTGAAAATGCAAGTCCAGTAGTTGGTGAACCAGGAGAGGAGCAATTCCACACACGGGATTGAACCAAGGTTCTCGTGGTCCTTGGCAGGATCCAGGTGCCCACAGCCCCCTCTGCTCTTACTCACAGGGGTTCTAAAGGCTATGAAGGATGAGCAGGAATTACTCACTCCCTGTGTATCCACTCAGTGCAGGATATTGTTTGGAAAGCACTGAATGAGCTGGAACTTTTCTACCACTGACCAAGAGATTCTTTAAAGTCTTAAATGAATAAAGTTCATTTCTCCTCTGCCTTGTTTTACCTTGGAGTGGTCCTGACTCTATCACAAATGCAGAGGAGACAGCGTGATTGAAACCTCTGAAGAGGCAGAGTGAGTTTGTAAGAGGTTTCCAAATAAAAAACACAGATTGTGAGTGACTGCAGCTCCTTCACTCGAGCTCCTTTACTGCCAGAGCCTTCCAGGGTAACCTGGAATGCCCAGCAGAGATCAGGATTCCCTGGGCTGGGACACAGGGACTGTGCCATCCTGGATCCCTCTCGTTTCTCCCCCAGGTGCCTCCCCATACCCTGGAGTGCAGATAGACGAGGATTTCTGCCGGCGGCTCAAGGAAGGGACCCGGATGAGATCTCCAGAATATTCCACTCCTGAAGTGTAAGAGCTGCTGGCTGCTGCTGGGGGCTGCTACATCTCACAGGAGAGATTGGGTTTAAGTGGGGACAGGGGGAGACCACAGCTGTGTCACAGAATGATTCACACAGACACAGTTCAATGTATGAGAGGGAAAAGATGATTTTATTTTGTGACTCCAGGATTTATAGATTCTCAACAATGACCAGGGGCTGGATAGTTAGGTTACCACCTTCACAATCACACTGGTCATGTAAAATGTCCATCAAAAGATGTTTCTTGCAAAGAATGCATGCACATTTATGTTTATAGTTACTTTCCTGGGAAAGTGGCTAGAAACTATGAAAAGAAGATCAGAAGGTTTCATTTTCAGGGTGACACAGCTGGCTATTTTATTTTCAGTAAAGCTGTGATTGAGTATATTTTGGGTGTCTGACAGCACCAATGCCAAGGACAGCCCAAGTCAGCCTGACCTTTGCCAGCAAGAAGATGCTCAGATACCCCATGTCAGCTGTAGTTCAGACTTCAGATGCTGTGACAGAAACCCAGCACCCAAAACCAGGACTTATTTCAGCAGTGTCAGCAGGGCCCAGCAGCCAGACTTTAAGTTAGGTAAAACCCAAAATCCTGCAGGCTCAGCTGAGGCAGGAATATGGAAGTGAAAAGCATCCAACATGGAAACTAAAACAGAATTTCAGCACATGGAGATCTGAACCTCTCTTAATCCAAAGACTGACCAAACCAAGCAGCAGTGGAATGAAACAGTTTGAAAGAAAAGCTCCCATCCTTTCCCATTCCTAATCCCTGTTGTTTTTTCTCTCCAGCTACCAGACAATGCTGGATTGCTGGCACGGGGTCCCCACGGAGAGACCAACATTCACCGAGCTCGTGGAGCGCCTGGGGGATCTCCTTCAGGCCAACGTGCAGCAGGTACAGCAGGGCCAGCCCCTCACAAGAAAAGTGTCAAACCTGATTTTCTGGTTTGATTCCTGCACTTCTCTTCACTCCTGGATTTCTCAGTCTCCTCTGAGCCAAGCTCTTTTGGAATATTCCTTCACAGGGAGTTCCATTTATCTCAGTCCTCTGGGTCAGGGAGAAAACTCTAAACCTCGTTAGGATCTTGTTTCTTGTGTTTATTAGGATGTTATCAAAGTCTTGGCAGGTCTCTCCAGATTTTCTGCACAAGTTCAAATCACTACAACCTGGCTCACTTTGGCTCTGATGGCACAAAATGGCCCTGAACTACTCAGTTCTTTTATCTTTATACTCATTCTTATCTAATTAACAATAGACACGTTAATTATTTTTATTAATGACCCAATGACCCATCACCTGTGTGCTGCACTGTGACATTTTCTATCACCTCCTGTCTTTCTATCATCTATCACCTACCTTTCTATCACCTATCAATCACCTCCTGCTACCCAAATACCTCTGGAAGAGCATGAAGAAGAAAGAATAAAGAAAAGAGACAGGACCCTAAATCCTCCATCTTGCCTTCTGTTTTCTAAATTAGTTTAAACTCTAACTTTTCCACCCAATGATTTAAGAAAGCTCTCTAATCTACACATTCACATTTTCAGCTTTTCTATCTGACTTTAGCAGTTGTGTTCATGTAACACCATGAAAACACACCCATAAATTTCATGTGTGAAATTCAGTGTTCTCCTGGATGTCAGAGGCAGAGATCAGAGCCAAGGGCTCACACTCTGTGTCTCAGACTCCAACAAAGTGCATTTGGAGTGTGTGCCTGTGCAGAGGTGAAGGATATTAAACACCAAAATGACATTTCACTTCCTAGCACAGCTCACTAGGAAAATGCCTGCTGCAATGAGTAAAGGCAATGTTAACTACTCAAATGTTAACTTTGCTTCTGATTTTCTCCACCTCCTGAATTTTGTCTCTCATTTCTAAGTTTATGTTCACCAGTGCTTCTGGGAGCTTTACAATTATGCAGCTTAAAGCACAGAGAGGCAGGTAAATCATGATTAATTTCATAATAGCTAAACCAGTTGTTTTTTTCTTCAATAAAAACAATCAGATCTGTTATGCAACTGTCAATTTAATTGAAAAAGAAATCAAACACTTTCCTCCAGCTCCTTCCTGTTTGTAAACAAATTTAGTGGAGCTGAGTTGAAGAGGGCCCAGTCTGCAATATGAAGAGCTTGTGAGCTTAATTCTATAACCAAAGTAAATTAAGGAGACATAAAAATCATGATAAGGGAATTGGGCACTTAACTCAAAATTAAAAACAAAGAGAAGCAGAGAGGAATTTGGACAAATAGTTTCAGGAGCTAAAGGCAGAGTCATTCCTGAGGATTGCTGCAGGGGGGTAATGACAATGCAGAGCTCATTACCAAGTGCAGTAGCAATTCCTGGGAAGGACAAGAAATTAAATCCTTCCAGGCTCCCACTTTAAGGCCTTCCCAAGCTCCTGAAGTAGAGCAGAAGGAAGCAGTCTGTCCATGGGCCATTGCTTCTGACCAGGACTGGAATATCCCAGCCCATCCCACACCACGGGGTTCCCAAAGTGCCTCGGTTTCCTCACAAAGCCTCCTGCACTTTGTACTCCTGTAGTTCTTGGATGAAGTGTGCATTCTAACTTCCACAACTCCCCCAGGGTGTGAGGAACAGGAGAATCACCTTGAACAAACATCACAGTTATGTTAAATCACAATTTAATCCTCTCTCATCACAAAGCTCTGCAGGATACAATAACCTGTCACATCTGAGATGCAGCACAAAATTAACTTTACCAGCTTTGTGCTTTTTTTCTGTTATTAATTTCATAGGATGGCAAAGACTACATTCCACTGAACATCACCTTGTGTCCAGATGGAGAATCCAATTCCAAAACCTGCCCTGTGGAAGAAAACTTGAGCAGCGGAGTGAATCGCTGGAGTGCAGTGGAAACTGGGTGAGAAAAGCAGATACAGGGTGGGGAGGAAAGAAACATTTCACTGTCTGGTGTCCTCCCTTCTCATGGCTGGTGGAAGAATCAGGCAGATTTGTTAGGGTGTTGGTTATTAGACACAAGAGGTGACAAAAGAGAAGTGCTCCAGGACAGGGGGATGTGTGAGGATGTAACTGGTGCAGCACCTGCCTGTGGTTTATGCTGACCCCTCAATTTTCCTGCTTTCAGTAACAGCAGCAAGAAGAGACCCCTGAGTGTGAAGACATTTGATGAGGTGCCAGTGGAAAAGGAGAAAGTGATGCATGAGGTAAGAGAGGTGACTGCATCCTTCCCCAGCAGGTTCACAGATCACTCGTCACCAGCACCAGAAACACTCATTAGAGCTTTTGGAATCTGTTTGGTAGGGGAGAACTTTAAATCAGGCTGAAGATTTGGCTCTGGCATCTCACACCCCTGGCTGTGTGACAACAAAGAGAGATCTGCATTTCTTTTAAATAATTTAAAGAGACGCTCACATGTGATTGCCCTGGCTTTGATCAGGCTAAGGGGCTTTATATTACATATTTCAAGATGTTTATCCACCATAAGAAAGTGGCAGCTTGTTCAAATGAAGCTCTTTGAGGGAAATGTGTCCAGAATTCTGGACATTCTGGCTGGCCAAGACAGCAAATCACTTGGTGAGGGTGAAGGTGTTCAGTTCAGGGCAGACAAGAACAAGATTCAAGATCCTGGTCTTGATTCCCTGGATTTTCCTCTCTGCAGGTGAATCTATTTATTACCAGTTTAATGCCATTGCAGGGTGAGAGAGTTTAAGCATTTAATTTTCCCTCCAGGGGAAAACAAAGGCTTGTTTTGTTACAGAATGAGGGTTCTGCTTATTGGCTTCCTCTGAAGGCATGGGTTGTATTTTCTTATTTTAAAAAATCCCCAAGAACATCTCCTGAATTCCCTGTGTGGTCCAGGCAGCCCTGGCTGCAGCTCCACGTGCTGTCCCCACCTGCTGCCTCAGTGGCACCTTCTGTGTCCCTAAGGAGGGACCTCTGCAGTGCCCAAGTGCTCCAGGTGGATCAAAGCTTGAATTGAAGCCGGAATCCCTGAGGAATCCTCCTGCCCCAGGAGGAGAAGTCTCAGGTGAGCCAAGGAAAGGCTCCAGCTGAGAGTCCCTCTTGGGCAGAGCCATTGCTCAGAGCAGCTCCCTTGGGAAGGCTCCAGCTCCAGCTCCAGCTTTTCCTGGGAATATTCCCTGTCCTTGCCAAGCACAGCCTGTTTCTCATCTCTTCTCTGCTGAGCACAGACTGAGGCCCATTATTGCCTTGTATTTTCCCAGATGGAATTTCTTTCTCTTTATCAGCACATCTCAGGATTAGGCAGCTTAGAAATTTCCCTGGTTCCTGCATCTTCCCCTTGCAGGATAAAATCTGTCCCTGTGAACCACACAAAGGCATTTTTGGATCAATGCTGTCTCAAGAGATTATTGCTGCCAGCACCAGCATTACCTGCCTAAGAGCTCGTGGCATTTTCAAATAAACTTTTACATGAGGGGGGAAAAGTTTCCAGAAAGGGTGATAATAAATGTTAATAATAAATATATATATAAATATATATAATAAATATTAAAAAAGTTAATAATAGATATAATTGTATAATAACTATATATTTATATATATTTTACATAATAAATATAAATATATATTTTATAATATACAAAAAGGGTGTTAATACATCAAAAGATTAGACATAAATGTTAATAATAAATAGATATAATTATATAATAATTATATATAAATATATAAATTTATTTTTATGTATTTATTATATAATATATAATAAATATATAACAAAATATATTTTTATATATTTTATATTTTTATATATTTGTATATTTTATAATATACCCAAAAAAAGGCTGAGAATACATCAAGAGATTAGAAATAAATGTTAATAATAAATAGATAAAATTATATAATAATTATAATTATATATAATACATATTTATATATATTTACATATTTGTGGTTTTATATAATTATATATTATATATTATTTTTAATATAATATAATATAATATAATATCATATCATATCATATCATATAATGTAATATTCAATATCATATAATTTAATATAATATAATATCATATAATATAATATTATTTAATATTATATAATATTATGTTATTTAATAACATATTATTTAATATTATATAATATAACTTTATTTTATATATTCTATGTTATATACGATATTAATAAAATTGAAATAAATTAAATTGAAATAAATTGATATTAAATGGAAACATTAATAAATGTTTCAATAAGGGTCTTTTAAATCAAAATCAGTGTGTGACCTGCTGTTGGACAATGGAAGTGTACTTTGGTTATCGAAGTTTTCTTAATTATCAAGCCTGAATTGTCATTAGGTCATTATTTCAAAGAGCTCTGAGTGCTCCACCACACCTTCCTGCCATTGTGCAATTATCTGCAGTCAGGGGAGATTCTTTTCCCAGAGAGGTGGAAGCAAAATGCAGAGCAGCCCCCAAATAAAACATTCCTATTCCTCGTGTTTGAAGGGGAAACAGTCAAGATAAAATCCAGGGACAAGCTGAGGCTTTGACAGACCTCATTAATTCAGGATTTCACTTTAGAAACTCATTTTTCACCTGGCCTTATTAAAACTGATAGATGACCAGAGCATGTATAAAAAGGCTTTTTCTTGTTTTTTATTGTCTGATGAGATTATTTTTTACACCTTGATCAGTTTGACTGATAAAATAAGAGTTTCTCTTCTATGTTGAGGGCTTTTGCTGTCTTGGTTCTGACAAATGCACAGATGAGCAGCTTTCCAGCATCACAAAATACTTCAAATGCAAAGAAACACCCAGATCATTTAATATTATTAAATTACTTAAAATGAAGACTGTGATGTCTGTGTATTTGCATAAACTTAGAACAAAGTTTAACTGCAGCCTCGAGATTCAGCTTTAAGTGCAGCAGAATCACAATCCCAACTCTAATCAAGATAGTTTTGTTGGAAAACTCATAAAAAAATTAGTTTTAAAGGCCAGGGGCATTTATCTTTACAAAGAACTTGCATTTACAAAATGCTGCTGAACTTCCACTTCCTTCAAACCCCAGTGTTTCTAATTGTGGATTTCCAGTGGGTATTTAAGGAGCTTTTCTTTGGAGGAGCCCAGCCAGAATTATTGGATATATTCTTTATGAATCTCAGTCTATTCATATCTCAGCTATCCTACGTACACAGTGCCCATATGTCATGCTTAATATCAGTTTCCAATTTGAAAATGTCAAATTATTTTTTGATATGTTCATTTTAAGGGTGCTCTTTGGAAATGCAGATCAAAAACTTTAATGTCATAAAAAGAAGGGAAACGTTCCCAGGCTCCAGAGCAGCATTATCAGGAAGACTTGGATAAAAATTGATAACACAGGCCTTGAGAAAAGAATATCCTGCAGTCCCAGGTTCCAGATATCCCTGATGTTCTTTCCTTTTGCTCCTCAGGAGTCTGACAGTGGGATGGTGCTGACCTCAGATGAGATAAAAAGCCCCAAGAGGTTGGAAATCCGTTCCTGGCCCTATGGGATTATGGCTCTGGCGTGAGTACTCTGGGGGATTTCTTTTTCAGACAGTTCTTCCTTTCAGAGAAATTCTTTTGAAATTTGCAGTTTTGTTTCTGCTGCCAAAAAGAAACCTCTGGATATCCAGGCAAGCTAAGAGGAGATGAACTCTGAATTTCAGCCCCATTACCAGAAAACCTTGGTAATGCATTTTAAGATCAAGGGGCAGCAGATTCTGCAAATGGGAAATGATGGGATGAAAAAATGAGAATATTGAGGTCTAATTTAGCTGTTTGTTCACTGCCTCCCCAGTGCTCTCTCTTAGTGATGGAGCACAGTTGGAAGAACTTGATTCATTAATCCAAAAGCTGACATTTGTAATTATACCAGTGTGTATATTTAACTCAGACAGAAGGAGTGGCATCTTTGCAGCTCATGGGATGTGAGTAAATTTCAAATGCTTGAACACAGCAAAGAGCAGTCCAAGAACTTCAAAGCAGTGCTTTTAGCAGAGCCCTGATTGCTGCATTTGCTTTATCATCACTGAGAACTGCAGAGACTTCCCTAAATGCCACCACCTCCGTGATCCCTGGGCTGTGTTCACAGCTGGTTTACAAACAGAGCCTGGGACAGGGTTTCCTGTGTGTTTATCCACTCATAGAACAATACAAGGTTAAAAGCAGATTTTTAGCTTTTTGCTCACAGTTCTTTGTATTTCAGTACCAACCACACAGGCAGAGGTGAGCCAGTAGTGAAAAACTTCTCCACCCATTTTACTGATTCAAATGTCAACATGTAGAATTTCAAATAAATCTGCCCAAAATATTTTAAAAACAATTATTATGTAGCAAAGAATTCTGTGTCTATTCAGTTAATTAAGCTAATTACTACTTGCCTAGATTTTTCTCTGTAATCTACTGAGATTTGTATGAGTTTTCTCTGTACTGAGGAACTCCACGACCTTTCCCAGCAGAGCAGTTGTTTGTTCTACACCAAGTCACCCCTTTTCTGCATTAAAGAGAAATGAGGGATGAGAAGAAGCCTGGTGCACTTCTGGATATTCTGGGAGAGTTCCCAGGAGAGGACATGGTCAGAGTGTGGCAGTTTTGGAGGGGTTGACTCTCACTCAGAGAGAAAAGCAGATGGAAAGGCCTTGCCTTATCTTTTGATGCCTTAGAAGCATCAATTCCCTGCTGTTTGAAGGCAGGAAAGGAGGAAAAGGGAGAAAAAAAGGAGGAAAAGGGAGAAGGAGAGGAGGAAAAGGGAGAAGGAAAAGGGAGATTTCAATAAGGAAAGGTGGACAACACTAACAGGAGCATTAGAACACTCTGGATGGGAGTGTGGCCTCAGGAATGTTGCTGCCCAGCAGTATTTTCCCTGTAGCAGCATCCCAGGGCTGGACCTGGTGGGATTAGCAGCAATCCCAACCCATTTCCATGCTTTTATCCCCTGCACACACCCAGAGCATTCCTGCCAGCACAATCCATTGCTATGGAGACCAAATGGCACCTTCTCAAATGTCAGGAGCTGCATTGCTGTGATGCTTTACCTGGGCTGATTCACCTCTTTCCTGCATGGTGCCACATTGGCACAAATCCAGCACACACAGGTGGGGTTTATCCCTCTGAGGATTCCTGTCATCACCCCTAAGCAGCTTTTCCCTTTTGCATTTCTCCTGTTTGGATAAAGAGCTGGCAGAGGAAGGTTCCCTCTCTGCCCTGTCTAAGCTTTCTCCTGAAAATCTGAAAAGTCAACACCCAGCCAGATGTAGAAACACAAAAATTCCATAACAGCCTGTTCTTTCCGGATTTCCAGGAAAACCTTCTGAACTGCTCTCAGGGCCACTGGGAGTGAATGTGAGGCTCTCTGGGGGCAGTGAATCCCTGTCTGACCCCACCACCTGGGCTCTCCCCACTTCCACTCAACCCCTCCATGAGGATTCTATCAACACTTCCATGGGGATTTCATCCAGCACAAGGTTCCTGTGCCCTTCTGTGGCCATCCCAGCAGAGCAAACTGTGCTGCTGTCCCATTTCCCAGGCCCATGGCACCCACCCAGGTGTGGCCACATCCTTCCCTGGGGGTTTGAGGTCCAGCTGAGAAAGATTTTTTTTGTCAGCTGCCTTTTGGGTTTTTTTTGGAATCTTGCAGGCCCTCATTGGCACAAAGAGCAGTTTTAAAGAGCAGAGCACCCCAAAGCCCTCTCGTTTGAGGACAGGACACCCCTGGGTGCCCCTGGGTGTCATTATATCAGGACATAATGTCTGTCCATTATGTCCTGATAATGGACAGACAAGGCTCCAAAGCCTGTGGAATAATCTAGAGAGGTCAGAAGGGAGTGTGGCTTTAACAGGGGAGATAAAGTCACCCTTGTTAATTGTGTATCTCTCTCTATCAAAAACATTTACCCTGGATCCTTTTCAAAGTCTTTCTTTTCTAAAACAAAGCTGTTCAAAGGCTTAGCATGTTTTCTAAACCAGGGTGGCTGCATTTATTATTTTTGCCAAAATCTCACTGTTTATTTATCCTGCATTCATTCCTCTGTTGAGTTTAAAATTTGCCAACAACACACACCATGGAGTGTCAGTGTCAAGAGTTTAGTGAGGATGAATCTGATACTCTGGGCCTGGCTCACTGTTAGGCTAGACTAACCAGGCCTGAGCTTTTCCTACTGCTAAAACAGAGCAGGGACATTCTGAGTATTTTATGCAGCTGAAGTAGAAAGTCACAGCAGTAGCTGCAGTGAGAGATGGAAAGATTGACTGGGATAACAACATTGGAATCAGCATTCAGGGAGGCACAGGGAGCACAGAGGGATTTAATGATGGGATGACTCTGGTGTCAGGTTCCATCTCATAATATTATCAGGCTACTGCCAAGCCCTGCTTTAAAATCCTCCCAGAGACTCTATAATCAAGTTATCGTTTAAGATGACAAAAGGTTTGGTATCTGCTCAGTTGTCCTCCCCCAGCTCTTCCCCTTCTCCCCCCAAACCCAATTATCCTCTGTTGCTCAGAGAGCCCTGATCTGGTTCTGGCCCAGGCCCACGAGATCAGCTGAGGCTCAGCTGATCCACTCTGGGCTCTGGATGCTGCATCCACATCCCATCACTGAGGGCTCTGCCTTTGCCAAAACAAGCTGGGCCTAAGGCAAGGCAGGAATACTGAAATGGTGGATTTTGCTCAGGAACAGCAGGCATTCGTGTCCAAACACAAAGAACACAACAAAAATACAGCCAGGATTGGGCTGGAATCCTTTCTCACCTTCTCAGAGAAACGAGGCATGGGAACATGTTTGCTCCAGGGCAGAAATAAGAAATACATTTATTGTTGTGTCGTGCAGCAGCTTGCACTATTACCTGACCTGAGCTCTCCAAACTACAACTTGGAATGAGTAGCTACTCAGGAGTTATGTAAACCACCTTTTTTACAAGGATTATGCACTGTGCTTACAGTAGCAAGGACTAGAAGGGGAATTGTGGATTTGACTGCAGTGTTTTCCATCCCACTGCTTTTGGACAGGGACAGCTGAGCAGCCTGGCCACACGTGTGAGGGGACACGAGGGTGGCTTTGGCCTGGGAAAGCTTTAGAACATTCAATTTGTATTTAAAAATGCTTCCAAACAATGAATTCCTGAGCCCAGCCCCTCGAGTCCTCCTTGCCAGCAGAATGCTGATGCACTGGTACTGCCAGAGGAGAGCCCAGGATGAAATTCCTCCTGCACAGCACTCAGTTGAAAATATATTAAAGCAAACTGTGAATCAGAAAGGTAAAAAAATACCCCTTTTATTTCTTTAATTGCAGAAAAATTAAAATAAAAAAATAACCACTCTTACTCTGAGCCTCATTAAACACCTTTGAAAGCTCCTACAAAGCCCTGAAGCTCCTACATGTTATTAGGAGATGGAGTCATGAGACAAACTGCTCTACTTGGCAGCAATCAGCCCAATTTCTCATCTTTCCCTAAACACAGCTTCTGAACATGGCCAGGTTTCCTACATGGACAGAAAAGTCCATTAGTTTTTCCTACTGAGAGCAAAATTCTCATGTTTCTTACTGCAGAGCAGCAGGAGCTGCTGCACTTGGGGCTGGGATCCCTCCCTGCTCAGGGGGATTTTCCTGCAGCCATCCTTCTTTCTCCACAGTCCTCTTCAAGTTATTCACCCCAAAATTTAGATTAACTGAAACCATCTTCTATAAAATAAACAGCTCCACTAATGGTTTCCCAGCTCTTTGATGATTTCAGTGTTTTTCTACCTCCAAAATCTGTGGTTTGTACAGCAGGAAGAAAAAGCCTCAGTAGGTCACTCAGGCCTTCAAGCTACTGCAGGATTGTCCTCTGCAGCATCTTCTAAACAACTTTGGCACCTTCAGAAAACTGAAAAATTTGTGGAAGATCCCTCAATATTCAGGCTGTGTCCCCAACCAGGACACCTTGTGCAAGGACAAATGAGTTCTCAGGGTGGTCACTGCAATTTGTGACAGGTCTGGGTCAGTGGGCAGCTGAATTCCAGCTGAATTCCAGCTGAATGTTGTGGTTTTCCCACCCTGATCCTCGGGATGATGGTGGGAACCCTGACAGGGGAGCCTGGGCTGGGATGGTTTTATCCAAACTGAGCATCTCTGATGGGCTCCCCAGCACTGTGGGGTCTGCAGAGGCAGAGCAGGGAGGAAACCCCTGCTGGGCAGGGCAGGGCCTGAACCAAGGAATGGCCGGCTTTTAATGAGATTAAATTCATAAATGTTAATGAAATTAGTTCATTACATAACCACCAGTGACTTGTGGAGCTGCACAGCTGTGTGAGTAACCAAACCCCTCCGGTCAGAGAGTCTTTACTGGGGGTCTCTCTTTGCACAGGGCAAGTGGCCCAGGCCACAAAGGGGCTTCTGGTGTCCCCTGGAGCCCTGAGCAGCCACCACAGCCAGGGCAAGGCTGAGCTCTGAGGGGCTGGAGCAGTTCCTGGATGCCAAGGGCAGATGGAAAAGGGATGAGCAGCCTCAGCCCCAGGAGCAGCATCTGTATGTGCACAGCGTGCCAGTGGCAGCAGCATGAAAGGTGGAAATGCAAAGGCCCACGGAGAGCTTTAATTAGGAAATGCATTTAGATGAAAGGAATAGTATTGGAAGTTAATTGCATTTTGCTCTGCCATTAGATAGCAAGTGATACAACTTCCTTCTGACCTAAGCCAGCAGCTTTCTGTCTTTGAAGCAGAGAGGAGATGGCAAATTTAGGAATCCTCCAAAGCCCAGCCTGATTTCAGCAGCAGGCAGAGTTACTCCCAGATACCCAAACTCCTGACCCACAGGGGCAGGAACCCTACAGGAACACTTGCAGGGGGCTGAAAAACTCCCACTGTGTGACTAAACCAAACCCTAATAACTCAGACAGGTTGGGAGCCAAATTAAACAGATACTCTCAAACTTCTCCTGTCTCCAGTGGCAACTTTAATACCTGGCAAATTGGAAACCAGAGCATCCATGGAATTGTCTGACATGAGTCAATGGAACTGAGCAACAAAAATAGAATTCCAGAAATAAGCAGTGAGGCAAAGTGTGGTTGCATTGTGTGGTTTATCTGCAGACAAAATGTGTAGAGGATGGACAGATGCTAAATCTGTAGGATGCACAAGGAGTTTCCTCTCATGTTTCTCTCTGGACAATGAGGAAAAACTTGTGTAAGCAGAGGGTGCTACAGTTTTTGTTGAAGTTCTGAGGGTTAGTATTTATTTTAGAAGTTCTGCTCTGGTTTGGTTTCAATGCCTTGTGCAGGTGTGAAAGCACAGAAAGAGCAGTTTTGTTCTAAAATCTCTGCAGCAATCATAGAACCCCATTCTGGACATGCAAGACGTGGTGGGCTGGCTCTTACAGCTCAGGCTCACCTCCCAAAGCTGGAGATTCAAACCTGCCATGCAAAGCCAGCCCAGCACACTAAAACCAGACCCTAAATGAATCAGCCCACGTCCCTCTGCAGCTGATCAGAGCCTCAGCTGTGTGTTATGTGTGAATTTGGCTGTACAGGAGTTTCATGAGTGATGTAGGAACATCACCACACATTCCCCCACAGCAGAGAGCTGCAGGGGTAGGTAATCCACAGATGAAGCCTGCAGGCTGCTCCTGTGGCTGTGCACAGAGCAGAAATCAGTGTTCTACTCCAGCCAGAGCTCTGAACACCTGGGATCTTCCCAAAACCACCACAAATTTTAAAAAACATTTGTTTTTTTTAATATAGTGACACTGGTTTAGTCAGCCGGTGACAATATCTGCAGCTTGTGGAAACCTGAAGCTTTTGACAGATTGACTTTCCAAATTCAGAGGCAAGAGAACACAACTTGTAAAGTCCCAACAGCAGAACCCAGCAGGGCAGATTTACCCTTTGCAGCTGAAAGGAGCTGTGTGTGGCCATCCAGGCTGCTCTCTCTGCTGTACCATCCCAAAAACTTCTCACACACACAGTTCCTGTCCTGGAACTGCTATTTTCCTATTCATGGCTCTTGCTGCCCTCCCTCCAGTTGCTGTGTCTGGCTCCTGGTTTGTTCCCTGGAGCAGGAACTGGCTCTGCTTTCTTCCCAAAGCACCCCAGTGAGCAAATGAGCAGCTGCTGGGGACTGGAAACACTGCAGAAGTGCCAGTAAAATGAGTGTAATGAATTCTACAATTATTTGATGAACTGTTGATTATTCAGATTTGGTTTTGGGTCATTAAAATGTAACTTGATACTACTTTAAACACATAAGAAGTACACTCACAAAGTGCTTGATTTTTCATTCTCCCAGTCATTCTGAGCTGAGCAGTGCTGTGATGAGTCTGTGCCTGGGGTTCCTTCCCAAGAGCTGCAGTTAAAGGGTCCTGAGCAAAGTGCAGCAGCTCAAAAGGCACTCTCACACTGGAATCCTCTGGAGAACCCCTCAATTATCCAGGCCTCTTCCAATGAATTGCTCAGAAACCAAGGTTGGCAGAACATTCTTTTTAAGGCAATGACAAAAAGAACCTTTTGAGTTCTCCACAGCCCTTGCTGTTCCTCGAGGTCACCTCCTGATACAAATCTCAGGGTTCTCTGCTTTGCTTTTAACCCTGAGGCTGCTGCATGTGATGGAAGTGGCTGTGTGCCACCCTCCATCACCTGGAACAAGGGAAGACAGGAGACAAAAGCATCTGGAATGCTGCAAAGCACTGTCCTTCACCTGCCCCTGGGTCAGGAATGGTAAAGGGCTTGGGAATATCAAAGGGATTTTGCCCTGCACTGCCTGAGCCCGTTCAACACACACTCTTGCTTTCAGTATCGGTTTAAATTGGAGTCTGTCAGAGATTATTCAGTATTTCCTCCTTTATTATGCTTCAAGAAGAGTCAGAGCCTTCAGTTCTGCTTTCAGAAAAGTCAAATTTTTACTGACCTCTGTCAGAACAATGAGGGAGGATATTACTGTGTGTACAGGACAGGTGCCTTTACAAGTAAGAGATCTGTAGTGCACTGAAATGTGGTGAGCTGAAAGGACAGGGCAGCAGAGCTGGAATTACTCCCAAATCTACTTTTAAAACACAGAGCTATTTAAAATACCTATTTCAGTTCCCTCATCCAGTCAGCAAAATGTCACTGCCTTACAGGGTGCCAGAGAGGTAAACTGATATTTTTATATATTTACTCTTTAAAGAAATTATTTTGCCCACTAATTCCGGAGCCAGGGCGGATACATCCCAATGTTTGTTCCCAACAGGAGGAGAGCTGTGAGCAGGAGCAAGGAATCCATCCTGTGTGACCACGAGACTGTCAAGTACCAGCCAGCAGTGCAGGTGGAAGAGGACACCATGGACTTTCCCCTGGAGGACTCTGTCCTGCTCCCCATGGATCCCAACCTGGAATGCCACAGCCCTCCCCCGGATTACAACTCTGTCATCCACTACTCGGCCCCCCCAGTGTAAGCAGTGCCCCCAGCACAGGCTGCACCCCAGCCTTGCCAGCTCTCCTGTGCCCCAGGGGGCCTGGATGAAACACAAGGGAATTCTGCTGGGATAATGCCTCACCTGTTTCTTCTGGCACGTCTTGGGTGTGATTGGAAACAATTTAAGAGCATCTTCTCTCTTCTCTTTTTAAAAGGCCTATTGCAAGATCTGCAGTGAATTAATGACATTCTGTCAGTCCTAGAGGGAGGTGTAACCCTGAGGTGCTGCCACTCCTTCCCCCTGGCTGGGGCTGTTCATTGACCCTGGCAGATCCACAGGTTCCTGCATTCCCATTTCACCCTGTGGAGGTCATGCCAAGCTGCTGGGAACACAAGATTCAAGCTGCTGACCCTGGCACATCCTGCAGGGATTGGTTAGGCCAGTGCTGGAAGGAATCTGTTGAAAAACATGAATGTTTTGGGCTTGGAGAAAAACTGAAATTGAAACACCCTCCCTAACTTGGGATTTCACCTCCTGTAAATATTTCTGAAATGTTTTGCAATCCAAGCTATTTTGGTTGCAATTTGGATTTAATTATTCCCACTGCCCAGAGGATACACTCCTAAAGATGGCACAGCCCAGAGCAAGCTGGAAGTGCTGGTGTGCCTGCTCTTTTGGGCCAGCAGGGCACACAGTGTGGTTAAATCTGGTGCCCTGGGCTTTCCCCTTGTTCAAAAAGCAGTTTATTCTGCAGACATGCAATAGGGAACCTTGCTGGAGATGCATCTGTAATGGTTTCAAGGCAAAAATCAGTGCCTTAAGTAAGAACCTTCTCAACTCAAACAGAGTTTCCCAGTTCACACACGTTTGTGTGAATGTGCAGAAAACTCTCATTACCAGCATGAGAGTTACACAAAAACTCACACACATCCTTGAGGCACCAGCAGGGCAGCAGCATTTTTATGTTTCCTTTCTGCACACAGGCTATTTACTAAAACAACACAGAAAAGAGAAAAAAGCATTTCCTCTGGATTCTGTGGCGGGTGCCCAAGGGTTTCACCCTGGGGATCCTGTCCCTGTTAAGCTCCAAGCCCATGTGACACACATTTATCTCTGACTGTCTTGCCAAGGTAAATACTGGTATCATATGCAAAGCCCTTCCTGGGTTCAGGGTAATTCAAAGCTTTTGTTGCAGCAGGACTGAAAGGATCACAAATTCTCGCCTGTCAGATGTTCCCAGTGGGTTTTTGCCCCGGAGCTGTGTGTGGCAGGGACTGTGACAAGTGTGCCCAGGTGCCCTGTGCATCACCACAGCAGCCTCAGACATCAGCAAATAATCCCCAGCCTTTCACGTGCTCTGTAACAACCAGAGTCAGATTTAAAGTTTAGGAAGGGAAAGGTCTCCAGGTTGCAAGGAGAAAAAGCCAGGCTGAACAAGATGTTCACTGACAGCGAGGGCTGCAACCTCCTGAGTTACAAACTCATCCATAAATGGCTCCCTGTGCAGTTTCCTCCAAGCTCTGCACAGCCCTTTCCTTTCCTTCTATGATTTGACTTCTCCAGCAGAAAAAGGAATTTTTCTTTGTGATTCAGACTAGAGGGGGATGGAATCCAAGCCTTGCAAAAGATGATGTTACCTTGGCAAAGACAGCTGCACACCCTCGCAGCAGCAAAGGAAGTTTTCTGGATGAGTGCTTGCAGTGGGCTGTGCTGAAGGAATCACAAACAAGCCTCAGGTATTGTCAAAGGGGAAAACAAACCTCCAAACCCCACACCACGTTAACTGTGAACTCTCAAGCATCTGAAGGATGGGCTCTGGGGAACTGCACTGCTTCTTCTCCTTGACTTCAGAGTCGCTTATTAATCACCTGCAGTCCCTCCAGAGCCCCCTGCTCGTAGTTGTAGTTGTATGAGCCCCCCTGCTCATAAAGCTGTAGCTGCTTTATGGTCATTTTGCACTGCTTTGTATTTTAGTACCTATGTGTTAAGTAGAGCTGGTCATAGAAGAGAAGAAACTACTGGGAAAGAATTCTGGTGAGCCCCAGGAAGCTCATTGGATTGGTTTGTCATCAAACACTATTAACTATCTATAGCTCTGATCAAGTAATCAATCAGTTCTTGTGGAAATAAATTATTGCTGAGGCAAAGGAGAAGAAAGCTCAGACAGAGTGTGTGGCACTGCTGTCGATGGGCTGGGCTGGAGATGTTTGATACTGCACCTTGAGCTGGAGGGTGAGCAAACAGCGTTGAAAAACCTTCACTCAGGAACTTTGAAGAGTAGGAACAAAACCTGCACGTGTGCTCTGTGTTCTGAGGAAGAATGGGAAGCTCTGCTGGGTGAACAGAGCAGGTGGCCTCCCCTTCTCTGCAGGATGAGCTGCAGGGGTTTCTCCAGGAGCAGAGGCACGGGAGCACACCTGGGGAGCCCTTCTGGCTCTCAGCAGCAAACCCCAGCCTTTCTGTGCCTCCTGAGAGGGTGGAACAGGACCCAGGCTCCAGTGCCCGAGATGTTTAAAGCCCTGGTTGCACTGACAGCCCCAAAACTGAGGGCTCCTCTGCAGTGGCAGAATCGAGAACGTCCCGAGCAGATCCAGCGATGGAAGGGACTGACTGATGTTTGGGCAGCTGTTCCCAGTGTTAATGAGTGAAAGATATTTTTTTTTTCCTCCTTATAGTAAATGTAACAAGCAAAAGTATTGCCTGAAAAGTATTATTGAACATATTCTATTTTATTTACTAATATTTTGTTTGTCCTTCTCTTGCCTCCCTTAATTTAATTATTGTTCTCTTCTTCCAACGATGTATATAGTGTACCCTGTAGCAACAAATATATTATTGCATTTATATGATAAAATTTGTAACATTTTAGTCCAAAAAGAAAGAAATACCCAGATGTAACAGAGTTAAGTATTGTACTAAACATTTCACTAATGCTTGCAGGCCAGGCTCCAGTTTACAGTGCCCCACTTGTGCCATGGCACAGCAGCTCTCTTGGCTGGGAGTGTCTCTGCCTCTCACTTCTTCTCCACGTTATTTAGTTTCACTTAGGAAACAGGAATCTGGAGGAATTTGGCAGGTTTATCTCATTCCTGGAGGCCTCACCATGTGAAGCTTGTGTTAAAGGTGAGGGATTTCCACGGCCTGGGTTTTAATTGGAGGCTGGTGGATTGGCTAGAGGATCAGAAGGGGTAAATTGTTTAAATGATGTGATGTTTATTATTTTTTCAGACTTCTCAGGGATTCTTACTCGACTCCTGTCTGCCAGCTGCTTTCTCTAACCCGAGCTCAGTGAGATCTGTATTAACACCAACCTTTGTTTCCTTTGATGGTGCTCACTCCCACTGGTTTTGTGCTCCTGCAAGCCCAGAGAATCAGGGCAAAGGAGCTCAGAGCTCTCCATGGAATTGTGTTGTCTCTTCTCCAACAATCACCTCCCACTTAGGTGTCCAAGTGCCTTCACCTGCATGTTCTTGTTCAGGCTGGTGCTTGTAACAACTTCCTGCCTCCTGTTTTTCTCTACTTTTCATCTTTTTCTTGTTATTTGCTCTCCCAGTCTCTTTGGATTGCTTTGCTCTGCCTTTTCCATAAGATCAGGTATAGGATCATTTCACTGCTGTTTATCCTGTGCTTGCAGAGGCTGAACTAGATAATCTAAAGCGAGATTTTCACATTAAATCCTCAATATATAGCCAAGGAAAACCAGTTTGTATTACTTTGTCTGGAAGTCTCTTTGTGCCCTTCCCTGAATGGGAGAAGCTTTTTAATCTACTGATTTTTCAATATTGCTGTCTGGAGCAAAATGAAGGCTGGTGACTGTGTGAATCTGATCTTTCCCAGAGTCCTTCCCTCAAACCATGAGGTTTCTGTAAGGTTCTCCCAAGTTATCCCCACAAGAAGATCCCCAGCAAGATTTATCCCAAGTATCTGCTTGGGATATAAAGGAAGTCAGCTAAAACTCTGAGTAAAGGTGTCAAACAAATGCCCTGAGTGCTGCAGGTGAACACACTGAGGGCTCCTGCAGACACCAGCTGCTCTGCTTGACATCCCCCTGCCACAAACTCTCCCTCCACTCACCTGCTGCCCCAGAGCATCCAGGTGTTTCTCTCACTGGATTTGCTCCCCTGTGCACTCCAGGATCCCTAAAACCCACCAGCACCAAGGGGACACGCCAGGAACTGTTTGCAAGCAAATGGCTACAGAGCAAGATAAGCATTATCAACTTTCCCTGAGCACAGGAATTGCTCAGTATCACTATCGTACCCACAGATCAGCCTAGAGGTTTTTCCTTATCATACAGTGAATTAAAAACACAAAAGGCAGCAATAATTCTTTTTTTCCTCCCTGAAAATGTAATGGCCAAACCCTGGGATCCATTTTTTACTGGGTTTTTTACTCACCACAAAAGAGCAGAAAGAATTTTGTCAAAGTCACGGCACCAGCATCATCTTACACAAGTGAAATTCAGGGAGGAGTTTGGGATTTGGACTCTCAGGAGTCAGGCAGTGCACAGGGGACTGTGGAGGTGTTGAGACCAGGCACTGCGTAGTTTGTCTGACATTGTTATTTCCATTTTTGTGGAGATAGAAAGGAAAACTTTCTGGCCTGGGTCAGGGAGAGCAGTGTGGGATGCACTGAGCAGTGTCCTGTTCTCCTGGTAGCACTCAATTCATTTTCCCTCAGACCTTGAGTTGTCCAAGCAGCTGCTGAAAATTTGGGAAAAACCAGCAACTTGGGACCTACAGAAATAAACTGAGGGAAACTGGGAAAAGCCAGGAACTTGGGACTTACAGAAATAAACCAAGTGCCATGTTCAAACCACCAAGGAATGTTTGTCTGCCATGTTCCTGTGTGTCTGAAGAATGTATGCACTGAAAACAAGGCTTTCTTATGTAGTCAAAAATTGTACTGTATCTATTAACCAAAAAAATAAAAAGATTCTATATTTATACAGCCCAGGGCTCCTTTGTGTCATCTCTTGGTTTGAAAAGCGTTGTCCTTGAAGCAGAATAAAAATAAATAACGCAACAGTTTTGAGAGATTTTTGTTGAGGCATTGATCTCATCCAAATTTCTACAGGGGGTTCCAAAGTTAGGACAGAGGCTGCCCCACTGCTCAGAGGGAGCTGCCCACTGCGTTTCCTCAAAAGACTCGTAGAGCTCTGAAAAAAATGGGCAATTTGCTGGAGAAATGTACCAAACCAGCTGCTGCCAAGAGCAGCCCTTGGAACACAGACATTGTGTCTGGTTCCTTCTAAAATGTCTCAATAAATGGGGCAGAGAGAGAGGAGAGAATCACAGTTCTGCCTTCTCAGGACAGCCCGTGGTCACCAAAGCGTGCCAGTGCAGAATGTGTGAGGATAATCTGCAGAACATGAGGGCATCTGGGGCTTGTCCAGCCTCAAAACTCCAGAGGTTGTGTTGGATTTGGCTTGCCATAACACTCTAAAAAGAACACCGTGAAATAAATACTTCCCAATACGTTACTGAATTCTCTTTTGAATAAACTCTGCACTGTTGAAATACAGAATATGAATATTCCATGCTCTCCCTTTGTAGAGAAGGTTTCACATTCAGGAAAAAAATCTCCCAGCTCCATCCAAATGCAGCAGACCTGGTTTAAAATAAATACTGGTATTAAGAAACAGAAAAAGAAGTGTGTTAGAGTTTCAGAGCCATTCTTCCATTAGCAGCCTTAAAAGTTATCGGGCTGTGTATTTTGCCAGTCACATTAAAAACTATGAAGCACTCAAGTCACTTCAAACATTTTAGTTTCTCTTCATTCCCTGTTCCAAACAGTCCCAGAAATGTGTCTAAATTATACATGTCATTTGAAATGCAGCAATCTCCTTTCATGCCCATAATGAGCAGGAACATTCTTCTCTGTAAACTGAAGAATGTTTTGGTTCCTTATGTAAGGCGTGAGTCACCGCGAGCTCCGCGCCCGCGGAAACCGACCGCTTAAAGAGGGGAAGCAAAATATACAAAATTAACTCTGATTTGCTTTTAGCACTAAATGTGAATTATTAATCACACCCAGCTTGAGTTACATTTGTGGGAGGGACCTTCCTACAGCAATTTGGGGAAAAAGGACAACGTTGGGAAAGCAGAAATGGAAGTTTTGCTCTTAGGTCTCAGCCAGGGGATGTAACTTCTCCATCCCTTACTTTTGCTGGATGGGATGGAAAAGATTCTTGTTTTTACAGCAGCAGCAGCACGTAGAGAGGCCAGGTCAGAAAATCTCAGCCTGAAGTATCGAAGCTTGGTGGCTTTGGGTGATAAGAATCGCAGAAAATAGGGACTAGCAGGAGAAAGATTTAGGATTGAGATACACAGATTTGGTGGTGGTGACATTAAAAAGCTGAGAAGAGAATCCAGTCAGGTCCTTTTTCCTTCCTCCCATAATCTGTCTTAACTTGAGAGGGTTTATAAAGTGCAAAGGTTTAGAAAGAGTGGAAATGCTGTTCATTTTCAGTGCTTTGGACACACTGAGGCCATGAGCAGTGGATGATAATGTTGTGTCAGAACCTTCCAGCATCCCACAGCTTCCAGAGGCTCCCAGCACACATGGCCAGCTCGTGGTGGCACATGAAATGTCCCCTGCTGGCTGCTCTGGGATGAGCTGGCTCTGTGTGGAGTGGAAGAAGCCCTGCAAGGACCCTAAAATCACCACTCACAGCACAGTCAGTGAAGAGTGGCAGCTGTTCCTACAGCCTGATGAGATCCATTCAGACTCCGAGAGGAGAAACTGCTCTGTCTAAACTCCTCCAGGGGCTCAGGAACCAGAACTGAATCCCAGGAAATCACAGCTGTGGCAGTTCACTTCACCTCCCTCCATGAGGCACAAAGTGAGACCTGTCTGTTCCCCTCCTCTCTGCAGGCAGTGAGGAATTTACTCCACACCAGCACCAAACACAAGGGCAGAGTAACGTGGCTCCAAACCTTCCTGGTCCAGATTTCCCCAAGGAGCCTTTCAGAGAGGGCTGTGGCTCCCAGGAAGTAACAGGACTGAAGCTGTCGTAATATCAAATGTCAAGATATGACATTTGATATTACAAGATATGAATGAAATAAATTGGGAAGGCCTCTCATATTCTTCCTGTGAGTTTGACCCTTGTGATGCTTACCCTGAGTGTGTGATCCACACTGAAAACCTGAGGCTGATTCCAGCCTTTTCCTCACTGAGCAGAAATAACACCAAGTAAAGAAGAAATATTTCCTCTGAGCTTTAAGCTGTTCTCTCTCTTGGGCCAGAGATTTTTCTTCAGAGTGTGAGCTGACCACAGAGGAGATTAAGAGATGGAATTCTTCTGTCAGACATTCCCAGGCCTGTGAGCACACGGAAGGAGCTCTGGTTGAAATGAGAACCTACAGCCCTCTGTGAAAAATGAGTAATCCTGATAACCCAGCAGAGGAAAGGGTAGGAATAGATGTCCACAGGGTGCTCTTGGCTAAATGCATGGGAAGGATGCTACAGGATTAAACTCATCTCTTGCACGCTTTCAGGGCAAATTGCAGCTCCACAGTTCAGTCAGTTTGGTGATTTCACTCAGAGTGATCTGACCCATCCAAACAAAGACAAAAAATATTATTTCAAATATTAAGAGTGACATCAGGAATGTTATGACATTCACTGAGGACAAATCCTGCACTTGAGAAGGACTAAACCCTCTCTGTGACACATTTTGGGGCTGACTGACCCTGCTCTGTGCGGGAAGGTCGAGTTTGGATCTCTTGAGGTCTCTTCCAGCCCAAATATTCCAACAGCCAAATCTGAGTCATTGTTTCATCCAAGCAGGCAGTAAATCAGCAGGATAACCCCCAATCCACCCAGGCCTGGCCTTTCCACACAGTGGAGATGGGGTTGGTGACTCACCTGGAGCCTCTGCAGAGCTCTGGGAGCCCTGGAAAGGGGAGTCTGCCAATAGTTAATGACTTTTTTGTCTGCATCCAAACAAAAGATGTGGCAACACTGATCTCACACAACAAAGTGAAACAAAACAAATGACATTCTTCTCGTGTAAAGACAAGTTGGCTTTCCTAAGAAAACTCCCAGGTAATTTTATCTCACAGCTTCATAGATACTCTTGTGCATTTTGCTTTTTCCTCCTGCTCCTCTGCTTCACAATTAACAAACAGCACTCAGTGTTCTCTCATGACAGAACCGATGCATTTGTCTCACCTAAACAGTGATATTAGACATTTGCTACTCGTGTCCACTCTATTAATTGTGAACTGTCCACTTCCCCAGATCTCTTTCAGGGAAAATATTCATAATGACATGATCCTCTGGAAGGTCGAGTCTCCAAAATCAAACCCTGAATTCCTGAAATCATTATAGAAAGTTTTTAAAAACCTGAGTCTTCTCCTTTGCAGATGAAGCAGGAATTTTTCTCTCTGATGTCGTGTGGGGGAAAGAGGCCCAAGCACCTGTCAGTAACACACTGATCCTTGTCTGAGTCAGACATGATGAGTGTTTCTCCTTTTACCAAGGTTTTTTCTGCTTACAGTTGTTACAGTGAAAACTTTGTCATTTCTGGCTTTTCCCCCTTGTCTTTCTCTCTTCCCCTGTAAGATTGTTAAAGAAAAATTCGAGCCTGACAGCAGGCAGGATCAAAGAGACCAGAAGCATAATGAAGTCCTTGTTTTCTCACTAAAGAAAACTCATCCCTGGAACTCCAATATCCAATACTCTGCACTTCCAGGAGCAGCAATATTAGCAGGACTCTAAAGATGGGACTACACACTCGGTGATCCTTAGGGCCAACAGAACAAACCTGGCATCTCTGGACACTCATCTTGGAGCAGCAGCTGTTATTTTTAAACTGGGCCATTGTCACAGTGAATTCCTCAAAATCCCAAAGGTTAAGTTGTTTTTCATAACTATGCATTAAAAAAATCAAACCAAAACAACAGGAAAAAAAAAACCAACCCAGCAACCAACCAAGAACTTTATTATTTTCTGTGAGAGTTTTGACCTTTTATTCATGTATATTTTTCAAAGCCAGCCCTGTGCTGTTTATGCCCCAAGCTAGAATGTCACAAACCATCTTAGCAGGGAGCAGAACCACAGAGACAAGCGGGGTAAGGCAAGGAGAGCAGGTGGAAGGGGGTGAGAAGCAGCAATGTGGGGGATCAAGGGAATTGGTTCCTTAATCCTGTCTGCTGAAACATCTGGGATGGACAGGATTGTGTTCCTCTCTTTCCCCAAAGCCTCTGGAACAAGCAGCAAACCCCCTCCTGACACATCGAGACGAAAGTGCAACGCGACTTTACAGCTCCATGAAGGAGGACAGGAGGGTGGAGTGGAGCCAAACCCTCATCTCCTGGAGCACTGAAAGAGCTGGATCCAAATCTGGCCATCACAAATGACTCCTTGGCTGGGTGATGGATTGTTTCTGAATCCAAGCTGCTCTGGAGGTTACAGCAGCAATTCCTGCTGCTGTCAGGATGACTCACGGCCAGCTCAGACACTGAGACCCATTGACTCAGCATCCCTCCTCTGCTGAATGAGATTTTCCTCTTGCTGATGAAACACTCTTTGGCCTTGATGTTAATCTTTGAATCTGTGAGATCCCAGATGCCTCCAGGATGTGGTAATAAATGGGAATTGCCATCAGATTGCAAAGGAAAGTGAGGCTGTCTTCTCGTTCTTTGCATTTGGATCATTATTTCCTTCCAGGAAGGAAAAGGCAGGAACTGAGTAGAAAATAGGTGTTGTTCTTCAAGTGATGTTCTGGAGCTGGCCATGGTGCATCGCTTCTCTCTGCTCTGGGAGTAAAGAGCTGCAGCTTACTGGGGCCAGCTCCTGCATCAAACCTCCTCAAAGAGCCACAGAGAATTACTGTCCTCACAGCTCTGTGTCTCTGGGAGCCAACATTCATCCCAGTCATGGCAACAAAGAAAATTCCCAGCTGGCCAAGAGAAAAGCAGGCTCCAAATGTACTCAAGAGCAA